TTCTCCTTTACGAGAGATTCGCAGGGTCAAAACAAATGTTAAAAATGAAGCATTTTAGACACAAGTAACTGAAACTACGCCTTACTAGGTTCAGAAATTGTTTGCCTCTTGAGGATGTTGTGGCCCAAGATTAAACTACATTTATTTTAGTGATCTTTACTGCCAAATTGGATCATGTTGACTTTTGCCAACACGTAAGTGATGGATGTTAAGGGGCTGAGAGGATTGTGTCAGTTCCATATTAGTGTTTTTAATGTGTGTTTCACGATGTGTGAGCATGTGTGTGTGTGTGTGTGTGTGTAGGGGTGCATGCACTTTATTTCCCAATACTGCTGTAAACGTACTATACAGTTTTATCATTTATAGTCGCATAACTGTATTTTATTTAAGTTTTGTTTTAATCTTTTCTGTAAAATCCACATTCGGTTTTTCTAGCTTAGAGTGTGTTACAAGAGGGCGGTAACACACGAGTTTGTCCTCCAGATGTCTCTCTGAACTCCATATGCTCTCAGATGCTGTCTCCCACAATCATCCTTCTTCATTCCCACTAACAATTAGATAATGAAACATTGATTTTTAGTTAGATTCATACTGATGCTATTAGCTTTGCATTGATAAATCACTGATGCTGAGAGCCAGACCAGGAAGACATTACAGTGTGTTAATCTGATGGATATGCCTTCTTCTTCCTGCGTGTCTCCACCTGTCACACCCACTCGTGGCTGCACATAAACATGTTTCATAAAAATAGCTTGACTACGTTTGCTCCTCTGAACTCAATTTAGTCTTTTTCGTTGTTGTTTCTGAGCCTTCACCGATCACTCGCAAGTCAAATAATTACCATTAAATTAGCACGGAACGTTTAAGAAATCCTAAAAACAATTTGCAATTAAGCGATAACACATGGATTTTGATTTTAGCCATGAAAACAAGTTTTTATAATTTTTGTGTTTGGAAATATAACTTTCAAAATATATCCTTATAAAGAATTTGGAATTCTTGTTGGTGAAAGTTTACAGAATGATATGATAACATTATATGAGTAATAAGTGGTTTAAATTACATTTAAAATGATGTTTTTCTCTGCATAAACCGGTAAGAACAGCATCCCCAGATATTGTGCTTCAGCTAAGAGTTGTAAAATAATTCTAAACATAGTAGCTTCAAGATAAAGCCGTCCATGCTTTGTGATTGAGTACATGGCATTGTGTAAGTATCTACTCAAAATGAGGAGAGTAGACAACAAAACTGGTTTAAAATCTGTCAGTTTAATCAAAGAGAAAAGTCTGTTTGAGGCTATAATGAAGCGTAAATGGTTTCCGAAGGAGGAAATGTGAAGTTTGTGTTCACGGTGCCTGTTAGCAAAGCTAGCCTGTCAGTCCACTCCCCCAGTTTTCATAGTAGCCTCACTTCAAAAAGACTTTTAAAGGAGGGGGAAAGAAACCACAGAATCCAAAGTTTGTTCTCATCTTTTAAAAGCATCCTGTGTCAAAAATAAAGAATGTGAGAATGCAAATGCCCACAACATTACTCGGGTGAGTTAAGAAGGCCTGGATCGGGAGCGGAACAACAGCAGGTGTGGGAAAAAAGCAGGTAATCCTCTGTAGGATTAATGGTTAGTGGTAGTCCCTGCTGCCTCAAACTGTTCTCTTCTGGCCTGGATGTTGCAGCCAACTGGTTTTAAATTGAAGATACACAGATGTCAACCCCAAAACAAACATCAGGGAACCTCACATAACCAAAAGCATTGCCCTTATGGCATCATACTCTCCCCTGCATCATCGATGTGACCAGATAAAGTAACATCTGTTTGCGAGGAAGCCGGAATACTTCCTTTCTTTTCTTTTTTTTATCATAATTCTGCGACAAAAATGCATTAACTGCAAGCGCAGTATTTTCTACCTTCCCTTCAAGTTAAGGCTTGTTTAAAAGTCGACGTTACAACCGTCAGGGTTTAATTGCGCTACGGTAACAGCATAGCTGTTATCGGCTTGATGAGAAGGGGGAACCACCGCTCGCTACTTTTAAGTCCTTCTAGACAAGAGCCGAAGTAATTGCACGACAAAAAAATTCATGTCAAGCTAATAAGCACGCTGTATTGTTATGGAGGGTGGCTGGGAACAGCTGAAAATATTAATAAAAGGGCCCGGCAAATAGAAGGGGCACGCTCAGGAAAAAGCACGACTCAGCTGGACTTTAATTATTGTCAATAAAACAACGGGGAATACGTTTAAAATTGAACAAGTTAACCCGTAGAGTTGGGTCTTCTGTGTAGATTCATTCGTCGTAAAAAAAAAAAAAAGAAGCTATACGGTTATGTTTGGTAGGTCCAGCCCGGTGAGTTATGCAACTGTTACGGAAAGTCAACGCAATGTTCTCTTAGGCATGGCTCCAACCCGTTGGGTCGGCGTCTGATTAATGGAAAGAAGTGAACGTCTGAAAGGGCTTTTGTAGACCAACAGGTGCCCGTCTTGGCAAGAACGTAGGCCAATTTAATTGGAAAGCATTCAGCTCTTGCGATAGTGTTGAGGTCTCCCTTGAGCTCTCGGTCACTTTAAGAAAAGAGGCTAAAATTAAATCTAATTTAGCCTTTTTTTTTTCCTGGCTTGAAACAGTTCTGCATGAACGTAACGTGTTCGAGGAAGAAGGCTGAAGCTTCAAGAGATTATTTTAGAAGTCGATTTAAATGAGACCCCTCGTCTAAAAGCAACATCCTTATAGTAAATTGTCACCAAATTGTATGCAGTTAGTGGAATAAATCAGTCTTGATGGTTTGTTGTATGCTTTTTTAAATGATATATTCAGTGTTGGAAATAGCCGAAATAGACAGTTAGATAGAAAGGGGAAGAATGACATCTCTGGCCCGACAACTGCAAAAGCCATCCTCTAACAATCGGGGCGTACCAGACAAACATGCGCCGTCCCCAGCTGTGACTGCTGGGAAATCTCCTTATCGCTCGAGTCCACCTGTCTGAGGCCGGGTTCCGTATTTCAGCCCGCCGTCTTGTCATTACTGTCACAGTTGGGTGTCTGTGTCTAAGAAACGGACACTGTGGGCCCTGAAACAAATGAAAATGGACTGTTAGAGGCAACTGGGATGACGATAAATGTAAAAAAAATATCTAAACAGCCTCTGGATTGTAGATAATGTAGGACCTTGACATTTTTAACCATTAGCTAAAGCTAATTCTTAACCTTTAATGATCCTGTTGTATAGTGAGACCATCGTTCCAAGTAGAAAGGCTCTGAAAGGTCTGGAGATAAAGTGGATTTCATGAGGGTAAGAAGAGAAAAATCCACGCATGCTAAGCGGGTGCTGACAGCTGTCACTCCCATCGGCCACCAGACCATCATACCCCCCCCTCCCTGCTCGACAGCATCCAGGCGTTCCCCCTTGTCAGAAAGCATATGCCGCTGCGTTTTTTTTCCTCCCCGCTCCGAGTGGTCTGACATTATCTAGTCCCCCGAAACCCCGCGGCCGGACGCGACTCTCGGCCACGGACATGATCTCTGATGTCTGCCGGGCGGGGAAACCGATGCTGTCACCGCGCCCTGAACACGACAAACGCGCTGTGACAGGGACAGTCAGGCACACCAGTGTGTGTACACCGACACACACATTGTTGAACAAGTGTGTGGCGTCCCGGTGACATGCCACACGTCAGTTAGGGCCTCTCTTAGGCTCCAAGTTTCCAGGTGAAGTCAGGCCCAAACTCAGTCAACCGGATGTGAGTATACGTATGTTTAAATAGCATCAGGTGCTTTCTTTAAATCACCAGAAATTTCTTTAAATCGCTTATAATTGTGTCCACAATCAGACAGGCAAGGACCAAATGATGGAGAAACAGGCCTCAGCTGTAACAGTGAGGCCCACGTTAAATAAAAATAGTCAGCTTTAGGATTAAGTTTCCAGAACAGAGCTTTCCTGTGGGCTGTTGGTTATGAAATGAATACGGAAATATATCCGTTAAATAGGAAATGCAGCGAGTTTAACAACCACAAGATGTTGGATCAGCAACGAAATGGTTTGAGCTCCTTCATTTGTTGACGCTGCCTGCCACCTGCTGGAGAAAGGGAAGTAGGGATGGTCAGACTTTGGCTGAGAATCTGATTTCTTAAAATTAAAATAGTCAGGAAATCAAGTACAGAAAAAAGCACGCATACACGAGACCAAAGCATCAGAGAGACTTTCACTGTCCAAGTCGGATCAGATTTGGTCTCTGGGGTGGAGGGTTTCATCTATTTGTTTACAAAAAGCTTTTCTTAAATCATACTCCACATTTAGAATTGTTTAGCAAACAAATATTCTGAGTCTATTATTGTTCCTTTAAAAAAAAAGGGAGATTTCTATCTTTCTCCAGGTGAGATATATTTTAAATGCTCAGAGTGTGATGTCTGAAGTGACCGATCCATGATATTGAATGGTGAGTATAATTATTAGTAGTATGTTTTTTACATATATGGGGGGAAAGATTCAGTCAATGGTTACAAGTGAAAATCTGGTTCCATGACTGGACACTTAGCTGTTTAGCTGATAATCAGCATAGAAAAAAACAGTAAACTTGCTGGTCTTTGGAAAATATTTCTTTCTAGCCTGATTGAATTTAAAAAGCAGATTTTTGATTGAGGAGATTTGATTGTGGACAGCGCTGTGATTGGTTACTGACAGGGCCAGCACCAGGTCCACGTTGCCTGCTTCTGTCAAAAGTGATGTAAGAATAATGATTTAAAACCTGTTTGAATCTTATGGGATGCTTAACAAGTGTGAGATTTACACCAAAGGATCCTCACTAGATGCTGACTCCATGGATGGGAGTTTCAGGGTTTTTACTGATAAATGGGAACAATCCTTTTTTAAGATTTTTTAAAGAGATTTTTCCTCCTTTTTTTGTGTACTATTTATCCTCAAAGATGGTTCTGATCTCTGTTCAGAGTGTGTGAAGGAGGACCATTTGCTGTGTGTGTTGGATTAATAACAATTACTACATTCATCAACATTAACCAACTTTATTTGAATCACTTTACAGTCAAAGTGTGGACCTGGTGAAAATGTCAATTCTCATACCAACGTCATCAGTTTATGGAACACAGAGAGTGACGGCTCCGCTCTCAGCTTGAAGTGTGCATAAAAAGTTCCGGTTTGCATAAAATAAGTCGTACTCTGCTGAGTCGGCGGCGTGACTCGAGTGTGTGACTGAAAAAAGCCATTTAGGAACCTCTCCTCTTCCTACAAAGATCACTTACGAGTGCTGAAATCTCCATCTTCCAAGAAAACAAAAACATTTCTTTAAGCTACCGTTTACAATATTTTATATTTTTAAAAAACAATAGGTACCCCAGCAATAAATTATGTATTCTCTGGATCTCCCAAGAATCATAAGTTGATGGCTTTTTTAATCAAACGCATGTACTATTCTCTATGGGAGATGTATATACTGAATAAGTGGAACTAAAATGTAAACATACTAAACAAATCTCCAAACAGAAAAAAACACATTAAACAAATGGAAAACAAAGAGCTCAAATACCAGGTCTTAGAAACAAAAAACGTCAGGCTTTTTTATAGCTTGACTTAGACGTGTTATTCAATAGAAATTAATGCTACGGTTTTTTTCTTCTAAAAAAAGAAAATAAATCAGCTTTAAACTTCTACATCACTAGCACTCTGAAAGTGAAGCGGACCTTTACAGAAAAGGGGCAAATACTGCATTTGAATTTAAACTTTTCAATCTAAAACGGTGTGCGCTAATTTAGATTTATGTCCCTGTGTGCCGCGTAATTCAGTTATTATGGGTCTACCTTATAAGATGCTGTTTTAAACGTCTTGGCACTACAAATCCAAGGTGAAAGACGATGAGATCCCTGATGACGCTTCTTGAAGTGTCTGTGGAGGATGCAGATTCGGAAAAAATGCAAAGCTTGGATTTAAAATATTGCTGCTTTACATCCAAAGGCTGCACATCTTGGCATTAAATGCAAAAATTACTTAAATTACTTTGGGCATTCAAGATCTTGAACCTATTTGAAATAGGATGTATGATGATGACAATTTTTAGGGTTTAAAACATACTGTGGGGAAACTACAAGAGGAGAAAAATAAACTAATTCTACCTGTGCTCGGTCCCCCCCCCCCCGCCCCGAAAAAGTACCAGTACCTTTTGTACTAACATTCCTATAATGTTGAGTTACAACTTATTTATGGACTCACGTTGTGAATCCTAACAATTCCAGACTTAATCAGAAATAAAAGTAAGAATCCTAAAATTATAAAACAGCTCATTTACAAAAAAAGGTGGCAAACTATAGTTAACATCGACATACAGCTGGTAATGACACACGTTTGCATCATGGCTTGTGTTTGAGAACTTGGTTTACTGTCAGATTTGGTGTTTTGTGTGATTTTTTTTCTTAATTCATCCATTTCTCACAGCAGCTTTAGCCAAGAGAATGTTCTGTTTATCCGCCTGTAATACCCCATATGGGCCGTGGCACTCCTGTTAGTTATCCAATTATTCTGCCTAATTTCCAACAGAACATTTGGAAAAAAAAATGTCTCCGTGTGTCTTTCAGTAGCTAACTACGTTCTTAACAAACAAAAAGCATGCAAAACACTTCAAATTAAACAACCATGTTACAAAATAGGAAGAGTCCGTGACGTTGCTTTCAACGTATTGTGCATTTTTCCGGGTCCTTTCGTGGCTCCTTCAGAGACCGCGGGCGTCTCCGTTCAGCAGGTAGGATTGTGCAGGCTGGGACCAGAGGGAGTCCGGTGTGTCTTCACGTTCCTTTGTGGAGAGACCCTGAGGATGAGGAAGAGCGGCTGTTCATCTGCGAAGAGACAAGTGTGCGGCGCACGGGTTAAATACGCCACACGCCATACGACACATCTGTGCGTTTGTGCCGGTATTTTCTCGGTGGAGAACAGTTTAGGGCTTTCACTTCCACGCTTTTGGATCAAAACGCTCAGTTCAAACTCACACAAGGGCGCGAATTTGAAGTTTAGGTTCTAATGGACTTGCAAAGTACAAGAAACATGTGGCACACAGAAATCTAAAAAGGCTTGTATCTTTAAGCTGGATAGTGTCTGTCACTTATTCATCTTACGGGGGGAAGAGCAGAAAGCGTGGTTGCTGGTGGGATCAGGGAAGACTGACAGACTGATGACACACCATATGGAATGCTGGGCGAGTTGTGCCCAGAGGGGGGACGAGGATGTGTTTTTATTATTTGTTTGTCAGGCCTGGGTAGTGCGGGGGGGGAGCAGACAGGTTTTGGGGAGCTGACAGCCATGCGGGCAGACACGCAGATGCCCGCGTGCACGCCGGTGACAGGAGGCACGCGCACACAGACCAAACGCAGACGGGAGGGGCCAGCACGCCGGTGAGGGGGGGGGGGGCTTTTCTACGCTGCTTTGTACTAAACTGACATGAAATGAACATCCATCCATCCATTATCAATACCGCTTATTCCCTGATGGGGTCGCGGGGGGAACTGGAGCCTATCCCAGTGGTCAACGGGCGAGAGGCAGGGTACACCCTGGACAGTCCGCCAGTCCATTGCAGGGCCACACAGAGACACACAAGGACCAACAACCACTCACATTAACTCCTAAGGGCAATTTCCCCAATCTCCAATCAACCTAACATGCAGTATTTGGACGGTGGGAGGAAGCCGGAGAACCCGGAGAGAACCCACGCAGACACAGGGAGAACATGCAAACTCCACCCAGAAGGGTCCTGGTTCCCCCGGGATTCGAACCCAGAACCCTCTGGGAGGCGACAGTGCTAAACACCACACCACCGTGCCGCCCATGAGATGAACAGCAACCTGTAATCTGAACAAAAGTCCCGCCCCAAAGACAGCGGATGGGGTTTCTAACCTCCAGTTGTTTGTTTCCACAACTGATCTTATAAATCTGGGAGGTTTTTAGTGTTTTGATAACACTCTGCTCATATAGTGACACGCAATGTAAACCAAATAAGTATGGTGTATGAATACACAGAACAAAACAGAACAACAGTAAGAAACTCTTAAGAATTTCACATGAAAAATTCATATTAAATGTAATGTAGAGTCTGCCGATGCTGTGAAGAAAACCTACTTGTTTGGAAGGTTCAGAGGAAGAATGGACTTCATTTCCAAAATGTCCATTTAACTGCAATGTCGCTGCAAAATGCAAAAAAAAAACATTAAAGCAATTATCTCATTTTCCAAACTGTGGATTTCCTTAGTAGTTTTCCAAATATTTCTCATGAGGAAGTAGCAGTTATTTGGGTAAAGCGTGTATAAAGCCGGTAATCTCCGGAGCCTCGTCCTTACCTTGTCGATCAAGTCTGGGGTCCACGAACCCCCAGTGCTGGTAGAGAGCCGCCAGGTCGTGCGGGCTGTAGTTCTTCAAGAGACTCAGGATATCCACGTCCATTGGCATTTCTCCCGACGACTCGCTCTTGCCCTGAGCGAAAAGGAGCGGATCTAAATAGGCTTTGCCCCCGTGCAGCCCCCACATGTTCATGGCGGCCCACAGATCGGGGCCCTTGGAGCTGGGGAAGTCACGTGACGGCCGGCGGGCGTGGAGTCTGTCTGAGGGGGCGTCGCTGGAAGTCCCGCACGAGTTTCTGGCCAGCATAAAACCCAAGCCCTCCTGGGGGAAGTTTCCCTCCACGGCAGACCTGCTGCGTCTGTGTTTGGGGCTGCCCGGCGGCTGCTGGAAGCTCGGCAGACTCTTGTTGGGCGCCGAATTGGTCGCCGGCCCTTGGGAAGCGGAGCTTTTGCTCCCACCCTCGGCTGCTCGCTTGTGTTCTCCAGACTTCCTCTGCGGCTGAGGGCCGACCCTCCCACCCAGCGTGCTCCCTTCAGAAGGACGGTGGTCCTTGGGCTGATTATTTTTGGACTTTGGGACTCCTAACTGGGTCTTGGGGGCTGTTTGCTTGCTGCTGCTTTGGCCGGTGAAACCTGGAGGCTGGGTTCTCTGCGTGCGGCGGGCGGGTAGAGCCGGGCAGTCTTTGCCCTCCAGGAAAGGCGGCGGCCCCGTGCGTCTCCACTGATTGGCGCCCGCTTTGGAGCTCTTTATGCCGTGCGTGCAGGGTGCCCATTTAGGCGCCATGGAGCTGCCGCCGTCCACTTTGTGCGCGACGCGCTGGTGTATCCACAGCACTTCCGGGTAGGTGGTGGTGTGGGAACAGTACGGGCACTGATGTCTCACCAGACCCTCGGTTTTCACCGGATATTTCGCAGTCCCGCTCCCATCGGCTACGGGAAGCGACGACAGATTGAGGAGACTGGCGCCATCGGCAGACATGTGTCCCTCCCCTTTTACGTCCGTCTCATTAGACTTTTCTTTTTTTATGTTGGCCTCTAGGAGCTCCTGGGCGGGAGGGCCTGTGTAGGGGTTCCAGTAGGGCTGGCTGAGCAGCAAGCTCCTGCTCCTGAGGTAGTCCATGTATCTCGAGGCTTTGGAACCGCTTCTGCTAATGTTGTCCACGACGGTGCTCTGTTTGGGGTAGAAACCCAGGTGCTGGGCGTGCAGGTGAGACTTGAGTACCGAGGGGTCGGGAGTGCGGAAATCACAGTGCTCACAGAAGAAGGATTTTCTGTCTGTAAGGGTGAGAGCAGAAAACAAAGTTAGTCATTTTTCAGGTGCTGTGCAAACGAAGACAAAAATATATTCCATTATTTTGTTGAATTCATTAGAAATTACACTCAATGTGCACCATTTTAGAGAAATACAGTACGATGCTTGAGCATCTTCATATTTTTGTACAATAAAGTGCAGTTGCAATTGTTGTAATTCCATTAGAAATTCACTAGAGGTCTCCATTTTCCATGTGAGGCTCTCCTCTACAAAATTATGATTAATTACTCCACCAGAGGTGTCCCAGTTTTGTAATTCCTAACTGACAGCGTTCTGCAGTTCACTTAAACCTGCAGTGGGCAGATATCCACAAACACAACTTCGATGAATAGACATTGAAAGAATCAGAACAGGGGACAACAGAACAGAACCTGTTGTTAAGGTCGGTGCTGTAAGGAGGGGGTGGGGGTTAAGCTCACCTTCCTTCTCTTGGCTCATTGCGGCCTTGTTCTGCTTGGATGAGAGCTGAGCATCTTTGACCTGCTTTGTCTGCAGGGCCTCATAAAAAGCATGTCCTAATCCGTTTAACAGAACACGGTCCCTCTGACAAATCTTTTTGTCTCCGACCTTAGCGGGAGCCAGGGTGTTGGACGTGTGCTCCAGGCCCGCGTCGCCCTTCTTCTTCTTGATGCTAGAGTTTGAGGTGTCGATCTGCTTCCTCTTTTTCTCCCTCAGTGGTATGTACTCTCCCTTCTCCGTGTCGTACGCCACCTCTGCGTCGGCCAGCCTCTCCTCCCATCCCAGACACTTCTCCGTGGCCTCCGCCAGGCGCCCCCTGGTGGCCAGCTGCCAGGCCTGGTAGCTGCAGACTGGGTCCAGCTCTAGAATCCGCTGTCCCGATTTATTTCTCTCGGGGGCATCCTTAGGCTCGACGCTTGTCAGGTTCAAACTCTCCAAAAAACGCTTCTTTTCCACATGCAGATCGGAGGCCTCGGCCTCTTCGCGTGGTGGGCTCTGGGGCGGGCCACGGCCGGGCCTGTGGAGCCTTTCGTGGACCTGCAGGGTGTTGCGGTCGTAGAAGAAGTTGCCGCATCCGGCGCAGAGCTCGTAGAGGCACTCCTCGTTGGTCAGCGACGCGGGGTCCTGGGGGACCCCGTTGACGGTGGCCGGCGGGTCGTTGGCTCTGCCCCCCCGCAGCTGCGCCTTGACCCGGTGAATGCGCATGTGGCTCTGGAGGAACCAGGCCTGGCGGAAGCGCCGCCCGCAGATGCGGCAGCCGTGGTCCTGCGAGCCCCGGTGCCGTTTCATGTGGGACTTGAGGAGCAGCACCTGAGGGAAGACCTGCCCGCAGATGGTGCACGTGAAAGGCTCCTCGTCCTCCTCCTCCGCCACATCTTTGCCCTTAACCTTTTTCTTCGTCCCTTTTTTCACCTTCCCGTTGGCGTTGTGGGTTTTGTCGGACGGGGTGGCGCTTCCGGGGGAGCTCTGCGTGTCGGCGTCGCTTCTCTGGCCCGGGTTGTCGTCCGCCTCTTTGTCGCTGAGGTTGAGGCTGAACAGGCCCAGTTTGTGGCTGCGGATGTGGGCTTTGAGGCTGCCCTTCTGCGCCGTCCTGTGCTCGCAGTAGGGGCATTTGTACGGCTTCTCCCGGGTGTGTCTCCTCATGTGCTGCGACAGGGAGCTGAGCAGAGGGAAGCTGCGACCGCACACCCCGCAGGTGTGGCAGGACGCCGGGTCTTCTTCTGCCTCCGCTTTAGGACCAGCCGCCTGTTTTTGTGACGCATCCTCCCTCTCTTCCGTCTCCATCTCTGAGCCTCCGACACCACAAAAGCCTGAACTGTTCAGTTTGTTTTTCTGCCTGGGCAAATGTGTGTTCCAAAGATTATTGAGTTCCCAAAGAGGACATCGAGAACACACTCAAAGTCATAGTTTTACTGTCCATCCCGATTCTTGAAGGAATCCGTATTAAAATGTGTATCTCAAAAGGATACCTGAAAACAGAACAAGAAACAAGCATTAGCAGTGTAATGATGGCCTTTGATATAAAAAGTTTTTCATTTTTTAGTCAGGTCTCAGTAATTGTAATATCTTGATCAGGTTTTACTCTTCTCAACATGTTCATAAGCAGCTTTGGGCAGAAAAACTTAAGCCTCTCAACATTATATTCCAAAATTATACAACATGTACACTGTTTTACATTTGATATGTAGAGTATGTTTACTCTACATTTCTATTTTAACCCAAAATCATTAAATCAGTGATTTGTTTTTTTGTTTTTTTAAATAAAAAGCTGTCAATCAGCTACATTTTTTTCCAGTGAGACGAATGAACAAAACAGATACTGGTTTTGCTAAAAGTGACACTATTAGTGGCTCTAATATTAGTTGGTTTGCCTGAATGTGAATCCCTGGTGTGGATGAAAGAGAGAGAGAACTCCCTGAAGCAACCTGCCTCCCCCAGATTTCAGACTAACCTTTGTCCCACAGTGGATGAACGACGCCTGTCTGTACATATTAGACCGCGGGTCAGTGTCTCAACACGCATGTGTCAGTCCTTTGGCTCCCTATGCCTAAATTGAGTGTGTGAGGTGAAGCATGAAGAGATGTATTCATTTCTGGCTGACCAGGATGAACCCTTAGGGGCCATCCACTCTAACTCACAATCAATAATCCATTATCAACAAACTTCATTTTAGGCTCAGGCACAGACAGAGCTCTGATCTGGGGCTTAGTGCTAATGAAGGATGCCCAGCAAAGGCACATAAGGGCGGCATGAATCATATTTTATCTTTAAGCATACTTATAAATGAATAAATAAAGGCAGACAGCAGTGAAGTGAGCAAACCTTTGTTAGATTTTTTATGAAATAAACTAAATATTTAAAAAGAAGTAACCCTTTCTTAATCATAAGACAAATGATAGCTCCCCAAGAGATTACTCGAAAGTACTAGGCCCTCTTACCTCTGAGACTTCTATTGAAACTTAAATTAATTATCCAGAAGCATAGCAGCAAATTATTGTATTGTGCATGGAAAAGGGCACAGGTGGGGTTTAACATGTTGCTCGTGCAAACCAAACCGTTTGCCGGACTGTTGAAGGGAAGGAAGGTACTCTGCGGTCTCCGGCCAGCCAGGCAGTCAAAAGAAAAACCTGCTATTGTGTCGCCCGCACCAGAACTGTCACATCGCCTCATGTCTGGCCCTCCAGCCCTCATTAGGGGGTCGAGAGAGTTATTGTTAAACCAGAGAGGCCTGGGCCTGCACGTCGCTGTCTTCGAATGCATGTCTGGGCAAAAAAGAGGCCGGACAAAAGACGGTTCTTGTTTGGGCCGCCCGTCCCTGAATCCAAGGGAAGACTAGGTGTGCACACGCACAGGGTTTAGAGGACTGGGGCCGGTTTGATTTTCTCAAGATGAGGCCGTCTGTCTAATTATCTGCGCCTGCATCCACAGGCGCATCTGTCTGCATGCATGCCTGCCTTCGGTCATGCGGGCTGATCGGCTCACGCTGGAATGGGCGTCGGATCCCGAAACACGGAGGAGGAGGTTTTTCTGCATGTGGCAGGTGTTTTTGTAGGCAGACGTTAGCAGATTAGTGCACATGCAATGTGGCGCTCTGTCTACGAGAGGGGGAGGATGTGTGGGAGAAACTGGACAGTGGCAATTAAGGGGTTAAGGTTAAGGCGAATGTAATGAGTTAACACAATGGGGATAAAGTCAGAGAGCTGAAGGCAACAGATGGGTATAAACAGGCCAGTATGGAGTTAGCCACCCTTACAGTGTGAGCTTACGCCTTTATAACAGGAGTCCGTGTGCTTAAATATACAGACAAAATACTTTATAGACCTCAAGCTTTCTTTGCTCCCACCTCCATGTACTCAGCTATCTGGTCCCCGTCCTGTGCTTTCATCCCCTAAATACTCCATGTTCTTTGGAGGATCAAACATGTTGCTCGGGGGCTCGACTCATTTCTTTTAGAATCCCTCGCCCCCTTTTTTGCGTCTCTCTTTTCTTTGGCAGATGAATAGGCATGTCCAGTCAGCTGTCCTCACATTGATTCATCCTGACGTCCCAACCAGCTCAGCACAAACTCCCTATGGTCAGGGCACGGATGCTGAGAGCCTGTGTGCTGGGATGTGTGTGCATGCTCGTGTGAAAATATCCGCTGTCTGCGTGTCGCATGTTTGTGTGCCCGGCCCATGTGCCTGGGCGCCGTTGCGGATTCAAAATAACCCCCCTCCATCCCTACCCCCTTCTTCAAACAACGCACACCTAATTCCTAATTACCTTAAACACCTCGTTTGTTTTTGTAGGAAGGAAAAGTGTCCCTCGTCCCCATTCTGGCTGCAAACTAATACGAGATGTGAAAATGTTTGCTTTGCACCCCATGACTGTGTGCATGCATATGTGCCTGTATCAGTGTGTGTGTGTGTGTGTGTGTACGTGCTGAAGTCATCCAAATATTCACATCAACAAGCCTGTGCCAATATACCCCTGACTGGAGATAGCATGTGACTGTCCTTATGCTTGTGTTCAAAGCCATAGCCACTCGCTAAGCCTCACCTCACATCTACAGCTCTGTGTCCAATAATCCTGTCTGTTCCCAGCAAAAACAACCCAAGCATCCAACAACACTGCACCTTAGCGTTTCATTACTGTAAATTAATTGTGCGTTTAAAGAAAAGATTGTTGCCCATTCTCAAGTTTTCAAAACATAATGAACCATTCAGAATATCTAAAAGGAAGATGCTTTTAATCTATCCTTGCAGTGTCTTTAATTGGCCTCAAAGTGGAATCAGTTTCCTTTGTAACTGTATAAACTATCCATGTGATGTCACTATCTTTTTTTTTTTAACTAATGTCTTTCAACTGCTGCCAATGTTGGGTGAAGACACTGCCAGGTTATTTCCCAAACAAAATCACCCGGTAAGTCAGCCTGGCTAACCAGGTTAGCCGTCAAAATGCTGAGAATCCACAAGTCACAAAGAATATCTTTAGCTTCATGACACTTGACGCCTGTATGGATTCAACTTCAGCAAAAACCCCGGAACTTTTTCTCTCCGCGTCTTTTGTTTCCAGCGAAGAGAAATTGTATTCTCTGCTGACTCCTGACAAGAGGACTCCTTCCAGATGTAATGGAGCCTACGCAGACTCCCAGGTGCCGGCGTGAGGCGACATGTTCGGTGGCTGTCCGACACGAGTCAGCACGCTCGGTGTCACGTCACCGCCAACCCTCAGGTTCAACGCCGAGTCCCGGGCGACAAAAGAACCACTAACTGCCTACAAACCAATTAAAAGGCTCAGAAGTTCAAATGAAGAAAAGTCCCAGATCGTGGTCCTTTCTGCAGACTAAGGCCAGGACAAATGTTTAAATCAGATCGATGGCGTCTGCATGAGTGCCCACAAGTCGTACTAGTAACGAGACATTTTGCCCGTTCTGGCCGACATGACCTGGATACGGCCCTTGCAGCTCTTAGAACATCCCTTTGAGCACAAAACAACGACATTAGATTTGGCACACAGATCACTATCTGCTCACAGCCTGCTTTACAGCTTAGGAAGTCGTGGTGTTCGAGACTTACAGCGTTCCTAGAATGACTTAACGGAACGCGCAACGGTGAAGCAGCACTCTTCGGTGGCCGAACAAGCTAATGTACCTAAAAGATTAGACAGCTATGAGCTCAACAGTCACAAGCTCGGACAAACTTGCGCACATCGGCGCCCATCCCCCTCCTTGGTCAACTCTCCACTCGGTTACACAACATATATAGGGATTACTCTTCACTGCATGAGATGAGCTGCTGAATGAGTGGCTCTTTTTTTTTTAACACGGATGCCCCTTGGTGCATTAATCATCCGCGACAAGACAAAGGCCAAAAAGACTCATGGTAGAGATTTTTACCTGTTAACAAAATGCCTCACACGTCCTGCTGAGGACTCAAAGACTAACAGAGGAATGTCATTTAAAAAAATGAGAAGGGCAAAGGTAATGAGAGGATATTTATGACAATATTTTCAGATATCATTGTTGATTTATCTGCTGTGGGAGGTCTGAGGATCCACTGTGGAGTCTCTTTTCAGTGTGGATTGGCTAGTGTGGGAGATGCTGGAGTATAATCTGCTGGCATTAACTTGCTCTCTAAAAAAAGCACTCTCGACAGGGATTAGATTATCATGGCAAGGTCAACTCAGACTCACCCCGTCCCCCTTTATGTGTCTCTATCACTTCAGTTTGTGTCTTTTTACAGCATCGGTTTTCTTCCCCTCATCTGTTCTCCTATCCGTCAAAGAGAATTTTGAGAGACTGATTTCAGTCCAAATGAAATGTAGGTCAAGCTTCTAATGTGAGATGGGCACAATAGATTAACAGATTAAATCTACAGATTGCATATTACAGGGTGAAGAACATTCATCTTAATGTCACAAAACGTAAAACGGCATCGTCTTTCTGTAAATTCATCCATCACTGACCGAACACACAGCCAAAGAGCTCCGGACAGAAAAGTTAACATTAGCTGCACATATGTCCATTTACATTTTCCCAGGCATGGGCTGGAAAGGTCACCTTCCTGTTGCATCTTCCGTATGCGCACTGCACACAAAGGCTATTTTAATTACATGTCAGGCTTTTTTCAGACACGTGATTAAAAGCTCCTCTCTTCACGGCCTAAAGCCTAAGGATGCTTTGTTTACCATATAATTATGAACTGGAAAAAGGAGATATCAATACAATTTCCTTTTATCATTAAACCATGGATATTCTGACCTGTAAATTAGAGATAGGAGGATTCATTTACCTTTGTGTCATCTTCAAGATCTTCTCTGATTAATTTGAATTGAGTTAAACTTGGCATCTCCCTTTCATTACTGAACAGAGCAGAAGCTGCTACATATAATTATCATAGCACAGAATAATCAAGCGTTTAAATGACTTGACTGAATACATTTCCTTAAATGTCCTTAGTTAACTATCAATTTTCACTGATTTCCAAATTTGAAAAAACTGCCCTCTCACGTGACTGTTATCAAACTCTCAAGTTACATAGCTGATTGAGATTTGTTAGAGCATATGCTCAATTTCCTATTTCTTCCCATGACCAAAGCGAGGACTGAAGGAGAGTAAAGTGATAGCTGCTTAGCAATTTTCAACCAGGAGCAAAAGAAAGACAGCTGGTAGGAGGGTCTGGATTAGGTTTCCCTGAGGGGTATTGCATCTTTTACACCACGGCTTCTTTGGAGTAGAATGGGCTGATAGTAACCTGATTCCCTCAGACCATCGAATCCTGTCTCCCTCTGTCTCAATGGAACCAAACAGAAGGGATCTGTGGAGGTCTTACTCATCCCTCCCATCTTCCATCTGGACAGTTTGAAACTCCTCCTCCTCCACTGGAGGCTGGAGACTAAAAGAACAAATATATACATTACAAAAAAAATATATATATACTGTATATATATATATATATATTTTTTTTTTTTTTCCTGAATCAACAAGAAAAAAATGTTTGCTGCCCTAAAAAGGACTTCCTCCCACCTGGATTTTATTTCAGTGAATGATATATTACCTAAGAAAAGCTGACTCTTTGTTTCATGATCAAGAATAACATATCTTTTCCAAATGTTTTTGTCCTATGTCAATTGTCCCTTTTTTGGCCAACTCCTTAACTTGTGCTAAAGGTCACCGGAGAAATCTCTTTGGTGAAGTCTGAAAAAGAGCCGCGTGACACTTTATGTTGTGAAGTGCTATTTTAGGATTTGGTGGACACTTTAAATCTCTGCAACAAGTACAGTGAGCTTTATTCTTCTGTAAATTATACTCTGTGTACACGATTAAAATCCCCATGAGATTTCCGACAACATGGGAACAAACTGAGAACTTTGTGTCATTAAAGTTCTTGGAAAAGACGATTTTGTGTGTTTGTCTCGCTTGTCAAGCATCACGCAGCCTGCACACACATACTGCAAAGGCACAGCCTTCACTGTGTGAATTTTCCACCTGTACATTTTTAACATTTTTTTCAGAAAGTTAAGCTTAGTGAATGGTGATGGATCATGCCTGATATTTAAGTAGATTCTTGAGTGCGGCAGACATAACGGTGGATACGTTTGTGAGATCTTCATTCCTTACAAAAGCATACATCAGGCATAGCACAGGAAATATTCATACAAAACCCATAGAATGTATACACGGATGTAATTAACCTTTAAGTCAAAATAGATTGTTTTGACTACATTTGCAACAGGTATCCTCTACAGTGGAGCTACGCGTGACAGTCCACTTAGCAACGAAACATTTACATGTCAAAATCTCAGAAAAAAGACACTTCCTTCATACACACACATATATATACATATATACACAGAGAGAGAGAGAGAGAGAGAGAGAGAGAGAGAGAGAGAGAGAGAGAAAGAAAGATGCATTTTGGTTTCTTTGGGGAACATAAAACTGCACAAACTCACATAACACCTAAAGACAGCTAACGTGTGTTAGCATTCCTCTAAATGCTGCATGTGGTCCACGTATTTGGTGGTCCGTTAGGTCATCATGTCAGAGATGAGACTGCACACTCAGCATAAGGCAAGCATCCAATTTCGGGATACACTTCCATGTTTTATGGCCTCACCTCCCTGTAAACATTAAGATGTAATTGGTTGTATTCTGCATTTAATGTTTTTTTGGTCAATTTTACACTGTAAACACTGTAAAGTGCAAAATTGAGTCTATTTTGAAGCTTACATTTCTGCAGAAATGTAAATGTAAAGATGTAAAGGCTTCATTTGGCTGCTGTACACAATTTTGTTAACTATCAATTCATATTTTATATTCCTGACGTTCTTTGCTGATCAGCCTGTTACTGGGCAGCCTGGTGTTGATTTCAGATATGTTTAGATTTAAATACTTCCAAATCCACTTCATTAAGACCTCCTTGTTGGTTTTCTTTTTCACCGTCTTATTCCCAACTGTTACATCTGAGTCACATTTTGAGGCTGTGTGTTTGCCTTCATTAAGTTCAGATAACAAAAACCAATTTGTTTCAGCCCATTGTCACACAAGGGAGCTGCCCAAAGTAGAGATGGCCTTACCCCCTTACATCCTCCTGTCTGCTCTGTCTGTTCCCCTCCCCCTTCCAGGCAGCAAGGCCCTGTCCAGACCCCCATGTCCTGACCTAATCTAGATGATTAAATCATTTTTCTTTAGCACAAATTTTGTCCCCCCCTTACTACTCTTGTCTGGTAGTTGTGTCGCGCACCCTCCCCTATTGATCGTCATGCTGAGGAGATTACCCTAATAGCTGGGATTACCTCCCCACATGTTGGTTGGCCACATACCCAAGGGGAGGAGGGGAGAGAGAGCCAGGGATGGTGCATGTTGTGCATGATGTGCAAGTGTATAGAAGGGGGAGGGAGGGGTGGAGAAATAAGAAATGGAAAATCTGGGACCTTTTTGTTTATTGCCCCGTGAGAGCTGGGATGTTTAAATGCTGACAAAGAATACATCAGGTCTGGATTTCTGCGGGATCCATCTGAAGTTTTTGCAGAGTATATCCTAAAATGATCACACTGCTCATAACTGTGAGACAAGCTTGTTCATCAACCGGGCAGATAAACAACACCCTTAAGGCCCCGTTGACAAGACATTGTGCTCAATGGCCAGATGCAACACAGTCTAAAGCACAGTGACACAAAAATTCCTCAATTTGAAAAATTGGATAAAAAAACTTTGTCAAGAGCTGATTAAAAGAATGTCAAATAAGAAGGCTGGACATCACTTAGATGGACCCCAGAAATGGCGTTGCATACACCTAGGAGAACAAAGACTGTTATTTAACTTTTCATTAAATGCAAACTGGGTTTCGATTTACAATTCATCATTTTTTTGGACTGTGGACTTACAGATGAATCGACTTGGACAGATTCAGGACGGACTGTGTTGACCACTGTTTACGTGGTCTTTGTAGTGCCTCTCAATAACTTTGGCTGTGAGCTGGAGATACGTGAATAAAATAATCCCACTTTTTTTCTCAGATCGCCCGGACCACACAGCGAAATGTGTTGTCCACATCGTCCACATGTTCCACAACAGCTCGGCTTGACATCTTTTTTCAGAGCTTTGGCTGGCCGCGTGCCGGCTTTGGCAGCGATGTGTGGAAGTTAAGTTTTTCTACCAAGTGCATAAATAAAGATGTTGAACGCCGCAGAGGCAAAAAAGGGGGCCGGTAGGGAAGGCCGATCAGACAGTGCAGAGAAAAGAAAAAAAAAAAGGAATTCCGTTAATCCGCCGCTGATCCGGTACAATGGCAGCCTTGTTGTCTGTCCCGTTCGCACTCACCTATCACAAGTTTAAGAGCTCCTACCGGCTATTTACGCCAAACCAACGCCGAAAACGAGTGATAAAAGGTTTCCGAACGACAACGACCGGAGTGGGACACTCGTTGGCCAGTCGCTGGGCGTTGGACACCGGACTTGGCCGAATGTTCCACGGATAAACTGGCATCCCACGGTAGTCACAAACAATCCGACCGGGATGCTGCCATTAACTTTCGCCCACATAAACTCTAACCGGAGAGAAAGCACCGCTTTGCAAACTGCCCCGAGACCCCCCCCTACCAACCACCACAGCATCCTACTACCGTCTTTTGTTAGTTAACCGTCGTTTAAGCTTTTACTCCTTACCTTTAAGGGGGTTAACGGTTAGGCGGCAGGTCGCTCCTGAAGGAATCCCATCACAGATTAAAAAAACAAAAAAACACACACAATGGCGTGCTTCGTTCAGGAGGCAGACACTTGTCCCCTAATCAAGGCGTTATCTTTCCCCGGTGTGCTCATCTCTTTTTCACTTGGTACCGTCCAAAAAAAAAACTTGAGTGGGTTTTTTTTTTATCACAGCGGTGCACCTGAAACCGCAGTCCCGTCCTCCTGCTCCTCCGCAGCGGCAGCGGCGGTGGCGGTTGTCGTCGTTGGGGACATGAGTGACGCGAGAGATAACGTTATTAACGTTAATAACAAGCCGCGCGAGTGATCTCCGCGTGCGCGCGGCTCCCGTCCCATTCTGTGCTCTCCTGGACTGGGAGGTTAAAGAGTGGCCGCGCGCGAGAGTGGCCGCGCGCGAGCTTTTTAGCTTAAGACGGTTTTGTTTAGCATGAATGCACAAGAATATGCTAGTGAGTCAAACGAAGTTTAAAAAAGCAAAAAAACAACGAGTTTTCGCTGTCAAGCTGTGAATGGAATTGACCGTACTTAAAAAATAATCAAATTAATTTAGACGTTACTATATTTTTAACACGTATGAGTTTTACCATTGTTATCTTAAAAAATCCTACAAAAGAAAACAAACAATATTTCAACCTTAACTGTTTACTTTTTGCTTTTTTGAGACGACTTGTTTGATTTTTGGTAAGACTGCCTTAAAAACAATAGGCAGGTGTTAATTAAACATTTTGTTGATATATTTTTCTCAGGACTCAGTCAGGACTTTCTGAATGTGAACCTGTTACCACATAGTTTTCATTCCTGCAATAAAGCCCCTTATGAATGCAACAGTTGTACTTGAGAACATTGTCCACTTGATGGCATTATATCCTACAATAATAAAGTTCTTTAAATCACTTTTTATTCCTGTCGACTGACAAGACCCAGTTTGTTTTAAATGAACGGCCCACTTGAGTGGATATTGTGCCAACTCAATATGTTTTCACTTCCGGTTTATTTCCGCCTAAAGCATCCTAGAATTCAAAATGTTCAAAATTGTTTACGTTGCGGGTTTCCATTGAGGTTGAATCCGAATTCTACATAGCCAAATTAAGTCTGACAAATGAGAAATAGTCCTCTTCACTGGAGTGTCATTACAGTGTCAGCTGTCAGCAAAGATAAATTGAATGTGAACTTCATCCATCCATTTTCTACACCGCTTATTCCCAGTGGGGTTGCAGGGGGGCTAGAGCCTATCCCAGCTGACGACGGGTGACAGGCAGGGTACAGCCAGGACAGGTCGCCAGTCCATCACGGGGCCACGCAGAGACACGCAACCACACACACTCACAGACACCCCAAGGGGCAATTTGGAATGTCCAGTTATCCTAACATGAATGTTTTTGGAAAGTGGGATGAAGGACCCGGGGACTGGGACTGGGAAACCTTTTTCTGTGAGGCGATCTATGTTTTATTGCTCTGATTCACTCTTAACTGCTATGGAAAGTGTTGGAGGTGAGAACTTGACCTAGTACTAATTTCCAAGATGGGGTCCACGTGGCCTAAAATGCAACTTTTGTTGCCAGTTGATGAGAAACACCTAACAGAACTAGGTCATACCCACCTTATAATTCAGTTTCTGTTTCCTAGAGTCCTTTCCTTAGCACCTCTGCGTGTCCCAGTCTCTGCATTGATGCAAGTAGAGGACGTAAGGAAATTACACAAGGAGAGAGGATTAAACACAATATGATAAAATGAGACCTTCTTGCATCAGAGCCACCATTTTATGAATCATCAGCCCATTGTTCTGTTATAGCCCAGAGCTGTATCTGAGATCAGTCAGATGAGCCTGTGAGCATTCATTTTACATTTTCTAAAATCTAAATGTTATATGTTGTCATTCAATTTACAGTCTGGGACGTTTCTGTCTTGCAGGAAAGGTGAAGAAAACACTTTCACATCAGATATTCTTCTCTGAATGGCATGCTGAGATTTATTTATTGGATGGTAAAAAAACAAAAAAAAATCCAGAAATAAATTCTGGAGAATATAGGCTGTACATAGAAGGAATACAAATTTCCCGCCACAGTTTGAGAACAGACTTTTTCTATTTTATTCTCGTCTACACAAAAATGTCAGGTTTTTGTGTTATTTTTGTTAAGTCGTCAGTCTTTTAAAAGCAGGCAAACAGTGTGGAGATAAGACAGACATGTTAAGATTTATTTGAAAGAATGAGGAATGCTACATCAGTAAGAGTTATTTGAAATATTTTCTTAATCTTTCTAAAGCAAAACAAACTTTTACAGCATTAACTTGCTATATATGGACATAATAGCATTTCTAATACAGTTTTTATCAATAGACTGCTTTATCAAACATGTGTATTAAATAAAAAAAGCTCAAATAGAAGTTATTGCCATCGTGGTAGCTATAAAGATCCAAGTACTAATTGAGCTGAGTGACCCAGTGGTGTCTATTAAATTTATGGTTAATCTTGTTAGGCTGTGCTTTTGTGCTTCCATTAAAGTGTCAAACACTTATAATGAAAGTATGTTTCTTAAGTATGCATGTGAGCTTTGATTTTTGGGCTTTTAATTTGTATTTTTCTGCCCATAATTACTTTGTCAAGTGAGCTCATCTTTTGATTTCCAACCGTGCGAGTAAGTGCTTCTCGCTTCATGATGGTTATTACCGTTGAGTATCTAAGGTTAGGGTTAAAATCATGTTGTCATAACATAAGATTACATGTCCAACTTTATTAAAGCAATAACTAATTTTCAGCCTCCATTATTAAATTGAATTTTCTGCTAGATACAGATAGTGGTCTGGCTCGTTCTTTATCTCAGTATTATTATTTTTAGCTGACATATTTAACAAAGGAAGGCTCAATCTCGTCCCTACAGAGGGAGCTGTTCGACTCTTTATTTTATTTTATTTTATTTTTTTAACAAAGCGTGGTAATGAAGTCTGTCTTAAAGTAGCTCTGTTCACAGATCTCTACATTCCCCGAGGCTCAGCTCATCTGGCACGGCCAGGAATACAAACTCCACAGCAGTGAACAAACACAGTGAATATATACAAGCACCGGACTAACCACAGGTTTCAGTGGCGACCTAAATATAAATCTGTAGTCTGTGTCATACCAGGTTGGAGGGATTTTGGCTCCATTGTGCGACAGGGGGCCAAACGAACCATTTTTAGTCCTCGATGTTTGTAGTCAAAACGTAATAGTATTGCTTTACATTTGTTTTTACGTTGGTTTTTTGTTATCTAAACTTAAGCCTAAAAATTTGCCTTAGATGTAACAGGCACGGGGAGCCAAAAAATAACTAATAAAAAGGGACTTTGTGGTTTTGGAGGTGGCTTGGCGTTCAGTGTGGGTCCCCTTTCAATTCAGCTGAGTTATGAATTTGTGGTTATTACTTTCATCCTTTTGGTAACAAAATGTTTACATCTTTAGAAAAATTGTAACTTGATTGAAGTCATTTGATTGAAAAAGAAATATACATTTTCCTATGCCATGTTTTAAGACACTAATTGAAGTTTGTATGTGTCACTTGTATTTTTTGGTCTGTCCAAATTTATAATAAAAATATAAAATCAATGACTGATTAGTCATCAGATAAAGTTTACTGTAGTATTTTAAAGACTTTTCTGCCCAGTTTTTGGAATCGAAATGCTTCATTAACATTTTTCTTCAGCAGGGAAAACATGAACACTTAGAAAACATGCCTGTTTTGTTCAACTAGTTTATGACAATGCCTCAGTTTAGACAGATCAGTATAAATCAAATTCCCCACTCTTCCGCCTTTTCCATCCTAATCTCATTTGAACATTCACTGCTGATGTTCTTTCCACTATCAGCGATTTCTAATGAAGAGTCATTTCTGCCACTAATCTGGAAGCAATGCCCCTGATATAAATAGAAAATAACAGATATAACGTGGTACTTGCTCTCTGTCCTTTAATGCAATGTCAGGTGTGTTTTAACAACGCTGTCAACACGTAAGGGGCTTATTAAGCTTTCGATGGAAATGGAAGTTGTTGGACTGTGAATGGACTGCAATGCAAATGTTTTATCAGACAGGAGAGTCAAACCCATGCAGGAAATAATAATAAAGCGGTGATTTTCAGTAAAGCATCCCAGGGAATATACAATTGCTATTTATTTCATTATTAAACTTCAAAGACATTTCTCAAACACTTGACCCTAAGTTTAGATAATTTTGTGCTTTTTAATTCATCTTTTTTTTTTAGTTTAGTTTAGTTTAGTTGTTCATATTGTTGTGAGGATGGTTAAAATGGAACAATAATTACAGCTCTCTAAAAAAGCAGGAAAAAAGTTGAAACACGGAAAATGACAGAGGGGTCTGAACAAAGATGCCTGAGCTGACAAATTAACTAAATTACCTAAATTAACTTTTACACATTTCTTTTATATTTACTTTCTTTGTAAAGCCCACAATGTCACAGCTTTGAAAAATATCTATGTCTTGCATGATGAACTGTGGAGTTATCGCTTCAACTGCGGGATGTAAATGTAGTTTCAGACTCATACACAGTTAATTTTCCAGAGGTGAGAAACAGAAGTACCATTATGTAAAACACAGTCATCAACTGTTTTAGACCGTGACAGGAAAAACCATCATAAAAGATTTGATTTCTGAACAATGTAAATGTAATTCCCCATTTAAGAACACCTGTGAGTACACATGATTTTCCCCAGTTTTTATTCATGCTGTCATTTTTCTTTGGTTTCCAGAATTTTATTTTATTTTTTACTGTATCTGTGCATCTTCTTGCCTTGTTTCTTTTGTTTGGTCTCAGTTTTGCCATTCTCTGTGATTCTGAATATGCATGATGACAAACACCATGGGGTGGAGCATGGATCTGGGGTAGGTGACATTTACATTGTTTTCATTTGCTGAGTTGTGCAGCAGAGCTGGGGATTTCAGAAAAGGAATCCTGTTGAAGATTAACCACCTTTCGACTTTGGGGTAAGATCTTTTTTTTATTTTCAATATTTGTTTAGACACTACAGAACACAGGTAAATAATTAAATCGAGCGAAATGTTTCGAGGTTGATAGGATGCCTGTGGTCTCCTTGTAATTTAGATGTGAATAGTTAGAATAGGTGTATGGTTCGATTTTAATAACTTGTAGATGGCTGGAAATGAATAGGAACTTAAACTGTCACAGATCTTAAAATGGCGAGAGTCCACAGAATTGAACCAATGTTTTTTTAGTATTATCTTCTTGAGTTGTTAATATTTGTAAAAGTTAAATGGACTAGTCTGATGAATAATATCAGTTTTACTCACAAATTTGCCACTAATTTCACTTGCCTTTTGCTTTCATTTTTGTCTACAAACAAGTTTTGGATGTTTAGGGGAATAATTACACAAAAGGCACTAAACATCAGAAAATGTAAGATTAATTAATCTATTGGATCACAGGCTTTACTTTTAAAGTCAAAGTAGGAATATTGAGATTTACAACATGATTTAATGTAGATTGTGAATTCCTTAAAGAACAGGGAGGTTCAGGCAACACCCTGGAAATCAGCAATTATCTGCCTGATTATATCCAGGATATAAAATCGGGATGCTTACAAACATGATTACCTCCTGTAGAATGCATGTTTCCACCCTTTTGAATTACTGTATTGTATCTATGTTAAAAAATATCCTGATTGTGGGGCTATTCAAACAATTATCTCATCTTTTATTTTCTTATCTTAAGTGATTTTATGCTGCTGGGGTTTTTTATGGTTTGTTTGCTTTTTTTAATTGACTGTGGAGGAATCCTGATATACTTCTCATCTCCATTGAGTGAAATCAGTTCCACAACTTTATATTTTTATTCCACGTTGCCTCTTTGATTCTTCGGAATCTATAATGCATTATCTGACTTTATGGCTGACACTTCAGTGTAATTTGTTCATCTGACAAAGTTAATCTGCTTAGGTGCTCATAAACTGCAGCATCCATGATGTAATAATAATAATTTCCTCTTCCCTCGCAGGGACTGATGACTGTCATCTAATAAACACACACAGAAAACTTGCATTTTAATTCACTGTTGCCATTAAGAGGGGAAGTGAAAAAAACCTCTGCCCGCTAAGGACGACCCGGATCCACGATGTCGAACACCGACTTCACCAAGTTCGAGGTATTCAGCAAGATTTTGAACGGCTGCAGCGAAGGTCCGTACTGTAACCACTCTCAGCTTGTTTTCCACAACGCGAACAACGGAACAAGCGGGCTGGAGATCCTCCACGACGGATCGCCCTGGCTGAGGATCCTCATCTCCGTGGTCTACTTCATAGTAGCCACGGCGGGAGTGTTGGGCAACCTGCTGGTCATGTTCCTGCTGTACTCTACCCGCACCATCGCTACAGGCACCATCAACTTCTTCGTTTTTAACTTGGCCTTGGCTCACCTCCTCTTCTCGCTGGCTTTGCCCTTTTGGGCCGTGGAGATGGCGATGGACTACACCTGGCCGTTCAGTTTGGCCACGTGCAAGGCCGTGTCCCTGCTGACCGGCCTGAACGTCTTCGCCAGCTGTTTCTTCCTGACCGCCATGAGTCTGACCCGGTATTGCTACGTGGTGACCGCCCTCAAGCCCCACGCTTCGCTGTGCGCCAGGTCCTGCACTTTCCCCATCGCCACCGCCCTGGTCTGGGTGGGGGCCTTCGTTGCCGCGGCGCCCAGGGCCGTGTTCGCCGACCTGAGCCGCGTGGGCAGCGGCAACGACACGGCGTGCCTGCTCCGCTTCCCCGACGGAACGGCCTGGTTGGGTATCAACCAGCTCCTGCGGGTGGTGTTCGGGTTCCTGCTGCCCTACGCCACAATCATCCTGTCCTACCTGCTCCTGCTCCGCTTCCTGTGCCGGCACAAGCTGAAGGGAGGCGGCAACTCGCGGCGGAAGGCCGACATCTCCAAGTCGGTGGCGGTGGTGGTGCTATCGTTCTGCGCCTGCTGGTTCCCCTACAACGTCCTGACCCTCTGGAGCGTCCTGATCCACCTGGACGTCGTGGACATCAGCAAGTCCTTCTACTCGGCGCAGACCTACTTCTTCCCCCTGGCCAACTGCTTGGCGTTCACCAGCAGCTGCTTCAACCCCGTCATCTACTGCCTGGTGAGGAAGGAGTACCGCGCGGCGCTCCACAACGTGCTCCTCAAGCTGAGCCTGGCCGTCACGTCCAAGATGCCGTACGCGAGGAAGACCGAGGAAGGGTCGGGGCAAGCCGGCCAGCTCGCCATTCCGCTCAACAACGTGTACAGCCAGACGTCCCAGACCGACACGAGGAGATACCCGCTACCGTCCGCGCTCCCTACTGTGGCGTCCACTCTGTGAAGCCTCAATCCAACCGTCACTCGTGTGTTAACAGAACACATGATCAGATTTGACCAATTTACATGATGAAACCAAGGAAGGCTGCTCACATGACCTGCTCATGTTACCTATATCATAGGTAATATGAGCATTGTTATGAGCATATCATAGAGAAGTGTATAATGTGTCATGAAAAAAAGCATTCTACAAAAAAAAAATGTTTTTTTGTTTGTTTCCTCAAAAATTTAGATGTTTCAAAAAGTAGAGTTTGCCGTTTGGCCATCGAAATGTAACATGTAACAATAATGGGAATCTTCAAGTGTTTTTACTGTGTGCTTTCAGTAGGCAGATCTTTCTCTATCTAATGCTGTGCACTCTGTGTTGTGTAGATCTGATATAAGATGTATCTACAAGGCAGCAAAAGCTTTTGTGTTTCTGCACAAAAATGCCAGGTGATTGAAGGCTGTAAATAATGCACGTGTACTAATAAAAACAATCTAACTCGAAGAACACTTACCACTACGAGTAATGTCTCTCTCCCTTTGTTCATATGACAGAACGTGTAAATATCAGTGTTAAAAAGGTTCTGTACTACTGCCTTATGAACCCCTCATACAGCTTCAGTGGCTTCGGGTTGTTGTGGTTTCTACCTGTGGAAAAGTTTTTGTCATTAATTTGAATGTAAAAATAAAACAGATTCTAACTTACATTCTCTTTGCCTTGTATGTGTCAAAGTCAATAGCTTGTCCCAACAGCCATGATCGGATTAAACAAAAAGCATGCTTTAGTTTTAGTTATTCCATTTAGATGAAAAAGAGGAGCTGGTTTAGTATAGTTTAGCTTTATTTATTATCATAAGCTGCTGAAATATTTTGCCTTGAGGATTCTGACAACACAAATGCCTTTTTTAAGGTGAAATGGTTAATATACTGTGTTATACACAAATACATCTTTTATTATTGCAAAAACACCAAGGAAACTGAGTTTTTTTCAAATTTCCCTCTTTCTTCAGACACAATGTCCACTGTTTTCTACTTTATAACATAAAAATAGTTTGAGTGCCCATTCTGACATCTATGATCTCAGTTTACCACAAGATGGTGGTGTTGTTAAATCTTTTAATTCTATGACAAAAACGGCAATATGAGTTGATTTTGCTTCACAAACAGTAAATGGGACGTTTAGGGAAAAGTAAAGTATACATCAATCTTCGAGAAATATATGAGCCCTTTGTAAAGCACATCTATATGTGCATGTGTCTGGTGATTTGTATCTATGTGACACATCATCTGGTGTCTCTGCAATTGTTTTTTGGTTCTTTGAGTTCATTTTATAGATTTCCTTAACACAACCACCTTCTGTTGGTCTACCTCTCTCTTTTTGTGTTCTGTGGGACCTCTTTGGATCTTCCTTATTTTTGTTTTTTTTTATATGATCCATGTCACCATATTGTGTCACCTTTGGATCGAAGTTGTATCTATGTTGTAACTTTGAGTCTAACAATATTATGTTTCTTTGGTTGTCATTATTGATATTTTTGTCCATTTTGTACATCCTCATGCTCGTAATAAAAAGACTACTTTGTAGATATTTGGAGAGCGATTTGTTTGCTTTGGGTCTTATAAACTGTGCTACATTTACATCTATTCGTATATACATATATTTCTTTGACTTTGTGGTTATTTTAATCATTCTTGGGATTTTTTTTTTATATTCAGGCAATTTAGCATCTCTTTTTATGTTCTAAAAGTTTTTGTGTTGGCTTTGTTATCAAATTGTCTGTTTTGTCATTTTGCATGCTTTTCTTCTTTTGCTTTTAGCTATCTAAAGCGCTTTGTGTTGCTTTTTTAAATAGCTTGATCAATAACAATAACAAGGTTAAAAAATTTCACTGCACATTCTGCAGAAGTGTGACTGCTGTTGAGAGGGATCAGCAAATGTGAAACTCGTCTCTTCATCTCCCAACTGTGTGGTGACAAAGATGCTGGTGAGACAAACAGATAAAAACTAGCATTATTTGTGTAGAGCTTTAGTCCAACCCCAGTTCTACAAACAAAATATCGAATACTGTGCTTGTTTTCAGCTGTGGGCAGGATTACACTCATGCAAGTCTCACCAAATTACTTGTAAAAATAACAGAGGATCAGAGAGGGATTTATTAATTTATTGAAATCACTCGGAAAAATCACCTGAAATATGAATACATTCCCTTTGTTCAAACAAAAATCATATCAATCAAGTATACTTACACTAATAATTATTACAAGCGCAATCATACCTACGGTAACTACCATTATAAATAAAACTACTGACATTAAACATCCACCACACAACATCAGGGGGTCTGGAGGGTATGGCTTATCAATGGGGCATGGCTTAGTTCAAAAGAAATGTCAAGTAAATTAAGGTTTTACATCCAGTAGGCCAAATTCAAGTCAGAAAACTCACCGATATATTTGTGACACAGCAAATCAATTGAGCAGAATGATTGCTGCCAAGAAAAATATTGTCTAACTCCTAAATGCTATACATCTATTTTTAGAAACATAAATCTGTTGATTGATGTTACATACCCTTACTCAAAATATATAAGATAAATATTCTAGTCTATTAGGTCCTGCTTTAGCTGCAGCAAAAGCGGCAGTTATTCCCCCTTGGTTCAACAAAGGTTTATATATTATCTGTAAACATAGAGCACTTTTTTCATAGTATCCTCTATAACATTCCTCATAAAGTTATGTTACATTACATCATCTGTTCGTGTTCGGAACAAAAAAAAACAAAGCTTTTGTTCCTATTTTTGTGGCAAATGATGAAATGAGGTGTAAATTAAACCATTTTTTAAGGACAAGAAGAGGGGCCAACATAAGCAGGTGGTTGCATTTGGTGTTCACTTTTATCTGTATTCTGTTGCCATACTCACCTGCCCAAAAAATCACCTTTCAGTGTGTTGTGCATTTGGCATAACGATATTCAAAGTTACCTTTGTGTTCCTCGCAACACCTGAGAGTGTACAACGCATTTAGTCGAGGAGATTTTTCATGACTGCGATGGTAACGGCACTTAAATGGGACGAACTTTAGAAATGGCAGGTAGTCTGGAAATAGCAATAAACAAGCAATCTCGCCTTAATATTTCCCCACCGTGGGGCCAGAAGCAAAGTTACGGGAGGTTGTTGGAGGTGACTCTTTAAAAGTACCTTTTTTTTTTTTTCCTTTTTAAGTCCTCTGAGGTTGTGAGTAGATAACTGATGAGGACGTGCTTTAGAGGTAGCACACTGTACCACTGCAGCTAATACAGAGAAACCTTCAATAATACGCGGGTATATTTGTAGTATCATATATCCGAAAAAATTTCTCACATACTTCTCGTAAAATGAAAACAGAAGTGCAGTATAACATGTCAAAAATACTGTATTGCAATGCAGGCCAAATAAATAGATGCGTATTGGAAGAGAAAAAATAAATAAATCAAACTTAAAACTGCAATCCAGCATTGTTTGAAAGCACCGCTGCTATTTTGGTTACACGACACGGGTGAGTTAGGGTTTGAGTTCACCGCGTAACATCATCTGGAACAGAAAAGTGCACAGCCGTTTCTGGATTGCAGCATTAAGAGTCGTTATAGTACACGAAATAAGTCTTCGCCACAACGTGAACATGCCTGTAGGCCTACCCTTAATTTGAGTACATTTTACATATAAGAATAGATATACACTGAGCTATTTTATACATTTTCTGGTAACATAAACATTTAACTTTGTATCATTTATCTGGAAATAAAATGTCTTTTGAAGGCAAGAGGTTAAGATAAATTATTCCAACCATGAAATTTGTCATGTAAATGATTCTGACTAACATACAGAGTTAACCAACACACTGCTTATTAATTAATCACCTGACTACAAAAAAAAAGGACATTTCATATACAAAGTTTACAGTTTTTTTGTATTGGCATTGTTACTTTTGGACCTTATGGCACAGACTGTAAGGCAGTCAAATCCTATGCACATTTACTTACATGTCCTCGCTTCTTCTTTTTCTTCCAAACTTTTCACTGTCCCTCTCGTGATTTCGGACCATTTCTCTGCCCGGTTTCATGTCGTAATATGCGAAAAAGCTGCGCACTTCCACGAAACGAAATGGAAGAGTCAGCAGGTTGGATTAAAAAAGGATGCCTCACTATAAGAAAGCCATGTCCTGGTGATTGTTCGGCATTGGAATCTTTCTGGTGGTGAACTGACTTGCTTGTCTTTGCATTCGAAAAACACATCACCAAGTGTTGCACATCAACGCTCAAAAAAGATCAAATATGTCACAGGAGTGTTCCACTGCTTTAAATATTGTGTTTGATTTTAGTTTATAATCATAGTCTTTAAAATGATTTGATACGGCATGTTTCAAACCAGTGTTACAAAGTGATTTTAATTCTCCCACTTCCAGTTTTGGATATCCTTTTGAACTGTTTAGTTATTCTAAGAGATACTCATTTTATTGTATTTATTTAGTGTTTATCCAATAAAATTTCAGACAGAAAAATAAAGAATAACCTTAAACAAGGAGGTGAAATATCTAAATGCATATTTTTACAGACTAAAATTTAAAGAAATGAATTTACCTCCATTTAGCTGCCATATTCTGACATATGAACTCTTTTTTTGCATCATCTTGACCACTGATATTGTTAGAAATTCTTAATGATGTCAGCTCTTAATGGTGACCATTAAGTTATTATCAAATAAAATCAGTCAATAAAATAGTTACAGTATTTTTTTTCTCAATTATTAAATGGCCGACTGTTACAGCTTTCATGGATAAAAAAGCCCACAGATAGGCCTGTAGGATGTTTTGGTCCAGCTTTCACAGCCTCAGTTTTGCTCAGAGTAAAATTTGTATTCATGTTTCAAATGTTCGTTTTTTTTTTTTATCAGACTAAATTTTTTATAAGGTGGATATTGTATTGCTTCTGGCTCACAGCTACATGGACTTTAGTCTATGTGAGAGGATTTTCAAACTGACTTGTTTTGGAATGTACTGCGCACAGAATTTCTGAGAAAGTGTAAATAAAAATTGGTTAGAGGCACCAGGGCTGTGATGTTAACATCTACAGTATGCTGTTTTTCTAAATCCAGGTTAAAAAGTCTTAGGGATTTGAATGTTTTCTCTTCTGGTGGTTCTGTGTGAGTACGTTTTAGCTCTGGTTCAACATCATAATGTAAACTGGAGGTAAAACACTGACCACTTGTGAGTGCTTTAAACAGCCAAACCTAAAAACTGAAAAAGACCGTAGGCTTAAAAAACGTAATAAAATACAACTATTACGTTTTTTTAAATGAGTTTGGGAAAACATGATACATGATCCATAGTAAGCCCTGATATAATTTTTATTATCATTTTCTGGGACACACCCCCATTCTGAATAAAACTGCTGAAGTGCCTCTTTCTCCTTTCCATGTTGCACTTTGTATCACTGTTTTGAAAGGTATATTTCATGTATAATTCATCACCATAATGATCATTATGACAGACATTATAACAGTGGAACAAACTCAAATTATTTCAAAGTATTATCATCATTAGATAGGATTAGCACAATGTAAGAGGCGCATTTTTCCCACACGCTGAAATTCTCTGTCCCAATGGAGAGGAGAACTAATGGGAGGATTAAACTTAAAGCTGTTGGTCGATAGCACTAAAAACAATACAAAAACGATATTTCCCACTTCCTAACTTAAGATAATAGTACATTGGTTGAGCCAAATTGTAAAATGGATCTTGGTTTGGGTCAGCGTCTGAGAATCAGACAAAGGCGTTTGCATGGGGGGATATTGTGCTTGGTAAAAGCCTCTTAGCGTTTTTTCTCTGCAGCAAATAGGGCGAGAAGCTGCTTGTAGAAGGAGAAATCCTGCACGCATCCTCATCGCACCGCTTTGCATGCCTCCCTCCGACTGTCTCTGCTAAAGTTTAAGAAATGGGTTAGGTACATTATTGCCATTGTCGTGGCACTGGCTTATATTCCAGTCAACGTGTGCAGAAGATTCCTTGCACACATTGGTCCTCATACTAAGATGATTGTCAATTTCCAGTACAGGCTAAGTTTTAATATGTGCAAAGATTTAGTTGTTTTTCCATTTGATTTTTTTTTCTTTTTCAAATGTGAGATGACGCGTCCTTTAGTCCTACTGGATCCGCTGCAGTGCTTTGTCTTGATGGGGTTAATGTGGGAGCTTTTGAATTGACCGTCTTACACCCGAGTGACCATCATGACCTGTGGTCACCTTGGAACTGGCAGTCAGGATCCCGGGTGGCCACTGTAACCCTGGTTGATACAATGAGGGGAGACAAAACGGATTTTATTACCACTTTTTTCTCTTAACAGCCAAGTCGGGGTGCAGGTTTCATGCAATCATTGAACATTGTTTGTTTGTTTATGTGAGTATTCATTTCGACAGTTTAAAGAAGACTGATACCACCCAGATGTTACTGCTCTGAGAAATGTTCCGGCATTCAACACATATTTCAGCTTTCGCTTTTAACTAAGTTCCTAATTCTGACGAGAAAAGCCTAAGAATGTTTTTGACATGACAAGAGAGATGTTCAGAATGTTTAGTGCTTCTTATTTTTGATCACTTACAGTGGAGAGATGTCAAATTTATCATTTCTTTCGGGGATTAGTAACAATGCCTAAAAATCATTTTATTGGACTTCAAATATTTCAAAAGGCTCCTAACTACAGTGCTAGTACTGAGAAAGCTTTAACCACAGTTTTGCTTTTAACAAACAAATTTGGGAGGAAGATGACGACACTTTGAAGTACTAATGCAAAGTTTGATGAGTCTTTTCCAAGTTTTGGAGGTTATTTTTACCAATTTGTGTACTCCTAACAGCAAAAAAAGTATTTCACTATTCTAAACATTTAACGCATTTAAAAACGTTGTCATATATTTTTGCTTTTTGTTTTATTTCTCCACTGGTGGAGAGGCAGGGTACGCCATGGACAGGTCACCAGTCCAACACGGGGCGTGGTGTTCCCCAAAGTGGAAAATACTGATGACTTGGATCTTAGGTGCCATCCCAAAAAAAAGGGGTCCCACTGGAGAACACATGATCTTTGTAATGACATGGAAAAAGCTTGTTTTGTCCTTGGATAAAACCGTCTACCAACACACACATGCAACTTGTGGTTGGATGGTACTTGGGTGGAATTTGAGGGAGTTGCTTTTTCCTTCTTCGCCACTAGATGTTAGTAACTGTTACACGTTATTACTTTAAGTTTGCTGGCGCTTAACTTGGCAGAAGGGAGAAGGCGATGCATCAACACGTCTGCACCCGTGGGACTTTTTTTTACATCAATATTCAAAGCATTGACTTGTTATTCTCCTTGCTAATTTACCACTTAATTAACTGTTGTTCGGTGCAGTGGAACTGCTCAGCTGTGTTTTCACAAACAGAAATACTTGTCACGCATTCCAAATGAGAGTTTGTGGGGAAATACCACCGAGCAACACTAAAACTAGCTAAAGAGACTCCGCATTGGGAAGCACAGCTTGGACGTTAATACCCATTTCACTTTGTTTGTTTTCAATGTGTATACAATCTCACAGCCGGCCTAGTGTGGAAATATCGTTTTGGTTTAAAGACGCAATTTCATTTATTTGCTTTTGATGTTCGGTGCTACAAAGAAGAATGAGATGGCGCATTTCCAAGACGGAGAATGCCGTTTCTCCCGAGCTATTTCGGCGTGACCAGCCTCTTCACCTGCGTCACAGTTCAGCCCACATGGTGAATTCATATAGCCCAATTACACTGCCGCGCTGGTGAGTCACAGTCCATTAAAGATTAAAGCGAAATTGTCGTCTTTTAAGCTAAACACTACGCTGTTTGGTCTCTGTGCAGTGCCTTTAGTCTATGTGCAGGATGTGGTGACATGTAATTTCGAATGGGACATAAATGCGCATCATCAAATGGGATTATTAGGCGGCGCGTATGACGACCTGCATTGGCTTTTTGGCGAATGCTCTGGGTATGACGCAAGGAATGAAGCAAACTGATTTGAGGACATGACTGGTTTAGCGAATAGGAATGATAAAAGATGTAGACACAGGCACAAACCTGGTCTGTGAGGATTCGAGGCTTAATATCAGGAATGGCACCCCCTCTCAGCTCATCTTCCACAGCCATCAGTCTGACAACAGGGAAATAGAGACAAACATACCGGTTGAGAAAAGGAGAATTTATGAAGCCGGTGCTCTTCTGATTTACTCTAGGACTGTGTGGCCATATGATGATATTAAGGTCCTGACATGTTTGTGGGCACATTCAGATATCCTCAGAGCCTCCTGTAGCTCAATCTGAGCTTCCTTCAGATTCAGCGGTTGAAATACACATGTGAAATGAGTATGAGGGATAGTGAAAACCACACCCTTTCTTTTTAGGCATTATGTGGTGGCTCACTTGGGTTTTGTTTCTCCTGTACTTTTTGTTGAGTTTGTATTTGAGACCTGAACCCAACCTGGCGAGTTAGAATTGTGATCATTACTTGTGATATACAATTGGAAACTGTTGTAAACCACAAAAATGAAAAGAGCACATAAAATAATACCAGAGGTCAAATGTCAACTCGTGGAAAACTCAGTGGAAACAAACTTTTTTATCTGGAAAAGCTGGAAGACGTTCTTAATTTAAGTTTTTCCCCAATGAATGATTCATGTTCATTGAACCAAAGCTGTTCCACGGACTGTGATTCTACTCATAATGCTGCATTCATCTTTCATAAGAAACAAATCTTGACTGGAGGAAGGCCAATCAAGAGTAAAATTGAGTAAAAATCATTTTCCAATTGACTCCTTTTCCCATGTATCTTTATCACTCACACTGGGCTCTACAGTCACATGAATCCCACAGCAGTTTCTGTTCTTGGCCTTTAGATTTCCCCAGATTCCCCAAGACCTTTTTTAAATCACGTGTTGTACATGTTGAAAGACTAAAGGTACCTTTTCGTGAAAATTTAGAAAATATTTTCTCCTGGAGTTTGGTTTTAAAAAAACTATAAACATTAGTTTTTGCTTGGATTGAGTTTTTCAGGGACAATTGTGTCACTCTCTCCTTATCGGCTGATTGTTTTCCAGAAAGACTTCAAGAAACATTTTACTTTATTTTCCTCTCTTGAAATGTTTTTTGAGTGTGTCATTGCATAAAATATTAACTTTGTTGAAACCTTCTGAATACTGTGGCATTGATCAGTGAAATTTAGACTATTTTAGCTAAATGCTGAGGATAAATTCTGAGGATTATTTAAATATCATGTTTTGTTTTGTTTTGTTGTATATTTGCTGAGCTCATCTAGATTCACTCGCAGAGACAAGTTACAAAACCTGAGTGGCTTTGCAGAACAAAACAACCATAAATATTTTCTAAGTTAAAATACTAGAAATCACTTTGTGTAATTGATTAAGAGCATCTAAATCTGTATCCTTAGCTTCTACATGATGAATAAGTTTGGATTGGTAAAGTGTGAACAGAGAATTGTAAACAACAGGAATGGTAAAAGTGTGTTTGGAGCACTTCATATTCTGCCTACCAAATGTAAAAAAAAAAATGTGAGGATGCAGAAAAAAAAAGAAAAATAACTTAATTTATGTAAAAACATGTATCAAAAGAAAGTAAAAAAAAAAAAACATCTTGCACGCTGCGCTGTGGTTTAAATGGGAGCACATCTGTGGGTTTCACGTGTGAACGAGCACCGTGGCGTTTTTCTGCCTCAGCAGTCTCACAAGGTTGGATCCTTTGACAGAACACAGCAAAAATCAGTGGCACGCACAGACAGACACACACAGAATCAGCAGAACTCAATCTAACTAAGTCCGCTGTTCAGAGTAACCATGAAGCTGTGTTTTCTAAACCGAATCATTTCTAACAATGATCTAAAAAATGATTAAGCAGAATTAGGAAACCTAATGTCTGAAATGTTATAGTTATGTTCCTCTGAGGTAAAGTGCAATATATACAAGGTACCTGTATATTTTTAAAAGAAGGATATTCATTAAATATGTTTAAAGATGGTGGAATTGGGGGGTTTTTGTGATTCGTCTCATGGGTTTATAAGGTTTATAATGATGATTGGTAACATGAAAATGATTTTGTTGATGGTAAAGGCAACGTTTTGTCAACGGCATGCAAGTCTTCTTTTAAAGTAAGCGTGGGCTAAGCTTTTCTGGCTAATTTTAGTGGCGCTCGCCCGAAAAAAAAACAACTTCTGTGTGATTAATGCGATGCAAAAGAAGAAGCTGAGCAGAAGCCGGCACGGCCTCGTCTCTACCTGCTCCGGTTCAGCCTACTCACCTGTTGATGATGCCTTTGATTTGAGAATCCTTCTCCACTTGCTGCTGCTTCAGGCGGCGCTCGCTGTCCTCCAGCCGGCTCTGGTACTGCAGGAGGATCTTGCTGGTCTGCTGCTCCTGGCTCATAAGCCTCTGCTCATATTCCTCTAGCTTGCGATGGGACATCTTCAGACGCTCCTTCAAGGAATGAATTTCCTCTTCGTATTCTTTTACCTGGAAGATCAGCGAAACAATGCCACTCGACTAACGTCCTTGCTAGTTTTAAGAAACATTCCAACGTAACAAGTGATTCTTAATCATCAGACCGAAAGGTAAATTGATAAAATGCAGTTTGGACTTTGTAAATCTATGATTTGCCGCTGTCCCAAGTCTTGAAATATAGCAGTTATGTCCAAAATTCAGATGGTCAAAATGTTTTTTAGTTGCCTTTTAGGAGTAGCCAACATGGCAAAGATTCTGAAACGAACTAAACTTGTTTCAGAAGCTCAACCCAAAGCTTGTGACAAAACCAGAACCTGTTAAGGAAGTAAATCTACAGAAGGAGTATAAAAAGGTGCTGACCCTATCCAGCCGTGACTCATCCATGCTCTTGGAGTACTCCTTCAGCTGGCCCTCGCGGTCTGGCCGCAGGCTTTCGATGTCGGCCGAGAGGTGGGGCATGTTGGACACCCAGGCCACCGTCCGCTCGTTCATGGCCTGGCTGTTCCCCTGAAAGAACAGCCAGGAAACGTCACCATTAAACGTCATAGTTCACTTCACCCTATAATGCCAAATGTATCATATTTGATACATATGGTTTCTGAAGTCTTTTGGATCTGAGACTTTTTGCATCATTCAATGGTAAAAGCTTTGCTCAAACCCCTGTTGTACACATTCAGATATGCCTGATAACAGCCAGTAGAAGACTACACCAAAATATATTTATGACTTATTGCACGGTAATATATTTTAAAATAGGAAGAATATTGGATTTTTTTATTTTATTCTGAAGTCTTTCTTTGGCCCCTCAACATCATGATTTTATTATTTTGATCACATTTTTTACTTATTGCACGCTAATTTGATCAAAATAATTTCTGTTTTTTTTTTCTTCATGATGTTGAGGGGCCAAAGAAAGACTTCAGACTAAAAAAAATCTAATATTCTTCCTATTTTTATTGGATCTGGCTTTAAAAGGTTAAACACTGTTTTTTTTTTATCATATCCATTTTGTAAACTGCATGTGAAAAAGTGGATCTACTGTCCTTTACCTGCTTGTTGGGGACCGGCTTGAGCAGGTGCTGCTGTGGCGGCTGCAGCTGGGACTGCGGAGGCTTCTTGGTGCTTTTCGTGGGCGTGTCCGTGGACTCCTCGGCGGCGGCGGCCGCCGGGGCCTGGTTCTCTTTGGCGGCGCCCGTCTGAAAGGGAAGCCCGGGGGCCGGACTGTCAGTGACCGACTGCTGCGCGTCCGGCTGAGGCTGCTGCTGGGGCTGCTGCTGCTGCTGATGATGATGCTGCTGATTCTGCTGCTGATGATGATGATGATGATGGTGATGATGCGGCGTCTGCTGATTCTGACGGGATTTGGGCTGGCTGCCGCTGAAGCTCATCTCGGAGGAGTCCAGGAGGAGGTTCCTGCTCTGCGGCCGGGCCCTGGGCGGGGTGGCGGTGGCCGGAGTGTTGACGGAGCGCTGGGACTTCAGGTGCTGGGGGGCGATGGACGTCTGGCGGATGGGGTGGACGGTGGTCGGGGGCGTGGCCAAGGAGGCAGGCGTGCCGGTGCCGGTCCCCGACTGAGACGTGACTCCCATTAGATGCTGCTGCTGGAGGGACTCCTGACGGAAAAGCAGGAGTGAAGGGAAACGGTTTGTGAAGCAAAGACAGTAAATAATCAATAAAACCTTTCAGCCGTCTGACTTATTTGGGCTGAAAACTCGTAACTTCCAGGCAGTGACTTGTATGAAAATACAAATGCATGAATGGTGAGAAGATACTAACAACCCAACATCAAAAATACTGTGTAAAAAGTCCCATTTTAAGTTGTGCTTTTTAATATGCATGACTATCGTGGTAATGTATGCCATAGGATATAAAATCATCCATAACTTTATGGTATACATACATTTTTCTGGTATAAAAATGTATAAGGATAATAATACCCCTTGATTTAAATTCAAACCTGATTTAAAACATTTTTAAATAGTCCTGATTTTGGATCTTATACACCAAACAAATGTAACTAACCAGCAGCAGGGCCCAGTGTTGTGTCTCTGAGGAAACAACATTTTCGGCTAGAACTGTTTTGATTATCTATGTGTCAAAATAATTCCCCCTCCTGGGACCTTAAAAACACTACAGCCCCTGCTCACTTTCTAGATTTTTTTTTTTTATTGAAAATGAAAAAAAATGTTAACTCTAATTTGTATCTCTAAAAGAGAATGTAGTTAAGAGAGTGTTTTGACAGCTCGCAACCTGTGGTACCAAGTTAACTAATAGGAAACGTCCTTGTAAAGAGAATGGAATGGAAATTTATTTAAATGGGAATTATGATCAAATTCCCTCACGAAGACCATCCAACTCTATTGCAGGGTGAAAAAACATGTTTCCAGTCGGCTGTACGTAAACTTTTAGCTTTGGTCTTCGACTTAACTTCCTGTTTCTGACTTTCCTGATTTGATCGACCTTCAGTTCTTACTTGCTTTTCGCCGTTGCTATTGCAAGATGACTGGCATTTTTGTTTTCTGTTCTCTGCTTTTACGTAAATTGCTTGATCTCTGCTAGCTCGGTGAAGCCCCTTTGCGACACTGTTTTGATTAATGCGGTAAATGAGGATTAGCATCAGAACTGCATGGATAAAATTGATAATTAATTCATTTAGTACAGTCTTAACTACGCCATCTGTATCAATAAGCAGGCAGCTCGTGATGTTTGTTCCATTAATGCCCACGCAACAGGACAGGAATAGCTCAGGACGACGTGACAGCGTCATTAAACACTATCATTTTAAACAGACCTGTAGTAAACTTATCACTGAGATGGATCCAGAAAATGCACAATCCATGAAGACAAAGTCCATAAAGTCACTAAATGACCTAAATGATGACATTATTATATCAGAAAACGCCATATAAACTCTAGATTTAGTTGTATTTTTTTATTCAGATGCCAACACAGACATGCTGGACACGGACTGGCCAGTCTGACCATGGGACTTCAGCATTAGCATCAGCGAATAGGACATTTTCATCATCAGTTTCATCCGCACAGCAGCAGATAGCTAATAACTGTTGAAACATGGACCAGCTCGACGGTTGTTAAGCACCACATAAAGTTCAGACGCAGATGAGTGATGCAGCCCTGGCGCCTTGTCTCCGGAAAAACAAGCGCCCTCATTTTATTGTTACATTTACATAATTTGCTGCTTAACAGTCAGATATCTGTTAAACATGCAAATGGGATCCTACTGATTTCAGCAACTTGAGGTGTTAAAATCCCACTGATTCAATGTCCTGTATGGTTTAAAACAATGCAAAAAACAATGAAAATGACAGAAATAAAAACCTTTAACCTCAATAAAAATAAGCCAAACTTACCTCCACACTAATTCATTTAGTAACATTTAGAAACGTCCATTTTAATTGATCATTATTCATAATAGTAACCAGGTAATATGGGTATTTTTCATTTATCACATTGTACTGCGCATTTTTCCAAGCTATGATGACTCTTTCCATTTGTCTTATTCCGAGAATTTTAATTCAATTTTATTTGGAGAACATGGAGAGATGAAACAGCGTCGCCCGAGATCTCGTACATTTTAGTTTCATGGAGCGTGTACCTGTGATAAACGATTTAATTAAAGGGGCGATTTTGTCGCACGTCATTTGCATAACGACTGAACGTGTGAGGGGGCAAAAAACTAAAAAGGGGAGGCCGATTCCTACCTGCACCTGCAGGGACAGCTGGTGCCAGGCGAAGTCGTTGCTGTGATTGTGGCGGGTGAAGTCGTCGCTGTAGCTGTGGGAGTGCACGATGCTGGGCTGCACCAGGCTGCTCTGCGAGCGCAGGGCCGACAGGTCCTCGCTGCGGGAGAAGGCGCTGTTTCCGAACGCCGGCGGGTAGTCGGGGTGGCCGTTCTCGGGCTCCGGGGCGAGGAGAAGCGGCGGTGGGGGAGGAGGAGGGGCCTGGGACTGAGCCGGGGAGTTCTGGGCGGCCAGATGGAATAGCGGGTTCTGGAAAGACAGGGGGAAGTGCATGGCGGCGGCCGCCTGCTGCTGTTGCTGGGAGATGGATTCGGTGGGGCCCCCCACGTGGCCCATCTGGCTTATTCTCAGCCCCGAGCCGGAGGAGCCCGGCGGCAGGTGGCCCCCCATGCGCAGCGGCCCGCTGAGGTTCCCGAAGCTGTGTCCCAGCCCGGCGATGGAAGCTTGAGAGGAGGTGAGCATGTCCCCCACTGAGTTCAGGTTGGAAATGCTGTTCATGCGAGAGTCCTGAAGGTCCATCATGGATACGCTTTTGTTTACGCTGTGGACCTGTGAATCACAAGAGACAAAATCACTCCCACTTCCGTGAAAAGATGAGCATGAAACCAGGAAATCAAGTTTTAATAAGGAATAAACAATGTCTTCACTTTGTGTCACAGCTAACTTAGATGGTTTGAGATGTCATAGGACTGCAAGCATCTAAACACAGCAGCTCTTTTGCAAGCAGAACCTGGCTAATGTTAAACCAATCAGTATTAATACACGTGGAGGATAAGCCATTCATAAAGCAATTTAACTTTATACTATCGGGTGTAAAGAGGTAAAGAAATAAAAGCTGTTACGTCCCAAAAGGCAAAGAGAAGACATCAAATCAAGAGTGTAAATTTAAACTTTTAAAGATTTTTTTCTTTCTCTTTTCTAAATAAAAGTCCCACTGTCAGCGGGAGAGCATGTATGAGTTAAATTGGGTATCTCATGATGTTGTTAGTGCAACTGTTGTTTTCCACTTTAAAATAAAATGAAAAATACTTTATCCCAGAGGGAATTACATGATTCCAATGTTTTTTTTCTTTGTGTACACGCTACAGGGTATGGTTTGTATTTGAGAGGAAATTAAGTGTTTTTACAAAAATAAAACATGCTGTTTATTCTAACTGTACGTTTCTAGTGATCTATGTATTTACTGGTTTATTCAATTTTGTGCATTTCTGTTAGACTAAACTAATTGCTGATGATTTCTCACTGCAGTATGACATAAGATTTACATGAAAAAATAGTATCTGTGGCACATACATTATTATCACATTATTCTGTGTATGTATCAGGGTTTTTTTCTGTTTCTAGGTTCTCTGAATCTTTCAATGATATCGTGCACTTTACACATAAAAAAATACAAAACTTAACAACCAAACTATTTTTCATTGTTTTTTTAGATAGACCTCCTCTGGATATTTATTTCTGAAAACACTGATCCCTTTTTAAACACTTTTTTTTTTAGTTTAACATTGTTTTTTAAGCAATTCATTACCTTTCCAGCCATCTAAAACTAGCTAATGCCATCAAATTCCAAATATATATTGTCCTTCTGTTTCATTTTATCAAATCCTAAAACCCCTTTGAACAAAGTTAGAGTTTTTATAATTTGGACACATTCCAATTTTTTTTCTCTTTTGCCAAGACAATTTTAATCTGGTTGTACTCTAGTTTAAATTGATCAATTCAGTTATTCCATTCCTTGTTTATGTCTTTTGGAGATCCGTTCGCCTTACAGGGGGACATTTAAAAACAGAATGCAGAAAGCTGCGAGATCGCGACTCACCAGACACAGAAAAAAAACGCAGGAAAACGCACACCTTACCTTTGGATCGGGCTCTGTGATGTCCGAGCTGCTTGTGCAGTATGCGGGGCTGGAGCGAGCCAGTGGTGGGCGGGTGACGTAGAACACTTCCCTCGACGAGCGAAGGTCTCGTTCGGCTTGGCGTCTCATGTTTAGATTGGATGAGAGGGATTCCACAGCTGAGATTCCGGTCGTAGGGGACGGGAGGCGAGAAATGTCTATTGAACTGCAGACATATAATGGAGAACAATTACGAAATGACTCACTCTGAAGAGCAGAGCGTCTAAGACATATCAGTTTAATTCTTTTTCTGGTCTCATTTAGTAGTCAGGTGTCTGACGATTCAGTCAAATATGAATTAATGAATAACTTCAGGACTGGTAATGAAGTTTTCCTTAGTTTCATCACAGTTCAGTTAAGGATTAAGTTATATTAAATTAAAAATGTCTTTAAATACCCAAAACCCGTCTATGACATTTTCCACTCTGGACAAAGTATGTTCAGTTGTGGGTTAGGGTCAGGTGTGTCACTCCTCATACTGACTGATTTTCTAACTCTGCCCTCTAAAACCTGAAAGTTTATCACTTTCATTCATCAACACATTTAATGCTCCAGATTTAGTCCCAGCAGATGAACGCCAAACAACACAGACGCTACACAAACTTGATGCTGTCTTATCCTCTGATGTTAACTACATTTTTTTTCATCTTCTTTCAGGAAATCTTATTTAAAGGGCCTAATGTGTCTCTTTACAGTAGCTAAAAGCTTGAATTTCAGTCAAAACAATGCGGGGAAAGGTTTTGGGTAAGAGTGTCGGGGACAATTACGGACTGGTAATCTGCTTTGAAAGCCCAAAGAAGTGCATTAACATTATGTGTTGTTAGGAGATGTTGAACTTTCGCTTACCATGTGTCCTTGGCCTTTTTATGAGCTGCAGTTAAGTAAACCCTTGTGAAAGTACAATTACTGTCTCTGTGTAGCTGCAGGCGCAATCATAGAGCCAAAGCATGGACCATTCAGGGGCGTGCAAACACAGTTTCCTGCCTACAATAAAGTGCAAAACAATGGTGTTTTTTTCCAAAACAACAGGGAAAGTCACCTGTTTAGGTCACGCATCATAAGGCTTTGGAAGTCAGAAGACATGACACGGTTGAAAGATGGACGAGTGAAAAGCCGGTCTTTTGGACGGTCGGGTTGGTGATTGGTGGGCATGTGAAGCTGCGGGTTCCTCAGGGCCACGCTGATGTCGTTCAGCAGCCGTGGCAGCGGTCCCAGTTTGAGAATAGCATCCTGCAGGTTTGGACAATGATATTCAGTAAAAAAGCTCTCCTCAAAACAAGGATCATAACCAGAGAAGAGTTTCTGTATAGAATAAAATGAATGGCTTTATATTGTTGGGCTTTGACAAATGACAAAGAATGAATCACTGGTTTGACTCATATTGTACTTAAATAGTTGACTGATTAAGTAGTATTTAATGCTCAGAAATGACAAAACATTAACAGAATAATTAAAATAATAATGACAACACACTTTCATCAATTTGTGTTCAAATATGCTCCGATCAATAAACAAAAGGATAAGATGGCAGGCAATCGGTGGTGTCAAATAGCTTGAATCATGAGGAAAGCATGAAATCTGTCAGTGTGTTGCACGCATGATGAGTAAAAGCGCCAGTTATCAATATCACAATTACCACATTTCCTCTGACGCTCAAATTGAATCCACACCAGATCCCCTGTCTTTATATTTTTAAGTTAGAGACAACCCAAGTGTGAGTTTTGTCCCACCCACCTTGCTGAGCTGGCCCATGACCTCCCACAGTAAGCTGTGGAGCGTGGACAGCTCTCTGCCCAGGTCGATGTAGCCCTCAAAGCCCCCGGCATTTCCTCCGGCCTCCATGTTGGAAATCTCATATAAAAACTGCTGCATGGATCCCCACTCCATCTCCAGGAACTCATTCATGAAATACATGTACTCCTCCTTTGGTCCAAATCTGTAGAGGACACATAAAAACAGCTGAAGCAGGAAATATGCTATAATGTTTAATGTTCATATGAAATGGAATAAAGATGTTCTTTCCTTTTTCTCTTCAATCGACTGCATGTGTGTTTATATATGTGTGTGTGACATGTGTCATCTTATGGTACCATCATCATATGACGTATTAACTTTGATTATTACGTTAAAAGTTATTTAATTTAGTCCAGTAAAAATGACCAAAACCTTTTTACTGCCAAACTTTTGGTGTCTTAATCTCAGGGTTTCATTAAGACCAGGAGGATTTGTACTGATATTTAAAAAAAAACATGTTACTGAAGTGTGGAGAGTGGAAGCATGAACAAATGTGTCAGAGCAGAAAAAGCTCAGAGTAACAGCTTATATGTTCACAGTCAAAACTGCAAGACGACGTGAGTCTGTGACACGCAGCAGATCCAAAAATGAACCCGTTTCTCTTCGAATCGGGTGGGAGGGTGCGGTTGGGGGGCGAAAAACACTCACTTGCTGAAGCTGGCCAGGTTCTGCATCACCTTGGCGATGAGCGTGAGCGTGCGGGACGTGCGCTCGGCCGGGTACTCCTGCATCAGGTTGAACAGCGAGGGCGACATGATGGCGGGGCACATGAAGCGGAGGAACAGCGAGGAGCTGATGAGGCTGTCGGCCAGGTCCTCCCGACCGCGCTCCGCACACCTGGCCCTCCACGAGGCAAACACCTCTTTCAGCTCTCGGGGGAATATGCTGAAACGGGAACGAGCAGTGCAGGATTTAAGTGAAAGTGTAGAGAAAAATATCAAGAAGCCAAAAGACTGGCCAAGTGATCGTCTTCACACAGTCTGACGTGAATGTTAAATACAAAAAAAAATATGTATTATGGTCTAAAACACTGAAATTTGAATGATTGAATGTAAATCTTTTTCTGTAATTAGTCTGTTGATGACTGATGTGGCTCTTCAGGAGATTAGGAACGTGTATTTCTGCGTGCATAAGTCTATGTGAGAGAGGGACTGACCAGAGGGAGTTGATAATCTTGCAGAGTAAAAGCTCGCAGCACATTCGAAGGTTGGCCTGATGGTCAGCGAGGACTGACGGCGGGACGCGCATGGGGTCCACCTCACAGTTCTCCTCCGACTCGTATAAGGCTCGAATGAAGTCGCCTGAAAGTTGCAAGACCATGGTGACTTTACAAAAAAAAAAAATCACCCAGCTGGAAAGAATAAAACCCTAAAAGAAACACGGTTTAATTCATGACCAGACGTTATCTCTTTGGGAGAAGAAAAGAAGCATGACTTAATTGTCACATCTGGGGAATGTCTGGTGTCTCGTCATGTCTTGATTACCAATTGTTTACACCTGGGGTTCCCTCCCTCATGTGTTTAAATAGTCCTCGTTTCCCATGTCCTGTGCGGTTGCGTCTTTCTTCTGTCTGTTTCCGTCTCCCCACGTCAGTCCAGGTTTGATTTTTGCCACAGTCATGCCACAGTCTTATTCACTTTGTTCCATAGCCATGTTTTGCCACGGTTTTGTTTTGAATCCATGTCTGCCATCCACTCCTTGTGAGTGCATTTTTGTTTCAATAAACCTTTTTCTGCATCTCCGCGCCTGAGTCCTCCCTCCAAGACCCACCTCCCTGACATTAATGAACTCTGGACATTATAAAAATGTTCCAACAAGGGTCGTGCATGTAAACAAATAATGTGACACACATTTTTTTCTGATAGTTTTTAATTATTCTTTATAAACTTGACTAATTGAACTGTTGTGAATTTGCTCTTTGGTCCTCACACTGTGAACCCTTGAGTTCAGTATTGTGGCCAAAACAGTCTTTGTACTTATGAGCAAATCCTAAAATCCTCATTGATAAATAGTCTGTTAATTATAACTAAGTTCCACCCTTATGCATATCCTGAATTTTATTCCACTAATAAAAATCCTATTTAATGTAAAACTGCATAAAAGGAGCAATGATGCGCTTAAACTTCTGAAGGAAATATTTCCTGAGGGCACTGATCGAGGAGGACGTAGAGTCACTTCTATCCAAATAGACTTCTTTGCCCTCTGCTGGCCATCAGAGATAAAGATCCCACTTCAGGTGTTTACTTTGAGCCCCATCAGCAGGACTGAGGGGCGACGTGGAGCAGGAGGAGCAGCAAGGCACCTAACAGGCCTTTATGATATCAAGAATATAATAGCAGACTTTATAATCATTTTCAATTTTTTCTCTGGGGGATCATCGAACATTCAAAAGTAACTGAAATAATTGCACAGACATTATTTAACATAGCAGGATTTTGGTTTTGTTAGATGACACTCGAAAATCTTCATTTAAATCCAATCAAATTTTACATCTGACAACAGAAATATAAAAACTGATGACAGTAGGTAATTGGGAACTGGACACTACAGCTATTTAGTTCTAAAAAAAATATATACAATTTGAGGTAAATATGAAATGATGAGTTAATAAATATTGTAGTAGATGAAGTAGTTTATAATGCTATCAGGCACCTTTTATTAAGTAATTTAAGCCTTTTTAAAATTACATTTTTAATTGTTGGCATCCTTCTAAATATGAACAATAACTTTTCTACTGAAGTTATATGTATGATTCAGAGTCATTCTTTAAAACAGGGAAGCTCAACACATTGATATAAGAAATCAACGTGATTTATGTACAAATAAAACGTAACCTTTATTTGTCCACTTATAACACGGTTAAAAGGACAATTGTGCCGGTCTGACACAAGGAAAGCCTTTAAACTGATCATTTCAGGAGAATCTTTAAATTAGTTGCACAAATCCCAGAGTAGTTTTATTCCAGTTTTATTTTCACTGTTCAGAGCGAAGACTTCACGCCCCAATTGTTTTATGCACTGATCATTGCAGCAGTCTTTCCAGTTGTATCAGTACTAAACCTACAAACTGACTAACCTCTAAAAGTCCCAAAGGAACCAGGAAAAATGATCCCGCATTTAACAGCTCCCCCGAACTAGCATCCACTTTAGGATTGAAATTTAAGACTGTTTTAAGCTTTTAATGGGTTCGCATCCAGCCATATATCTGACCTCACTGTCTTATAAATGCCTGTAAGTCCTCTGAGATCCTCTTATCTGTGTCTGAGACTCAGCTAAACCCCATAAGTGACAGAATGGTAAGCAGAATCGATGATTTTTTTTCAATCACTCCCTAAAACTGATTCTTTTCTAAGTCTTTTATAAGGTTCAATAGATGTTCCTTTATTTACCGTTAGAATAATTGTGTTTGCCCAGTTTTTTTCAGTGCTGTTCTTCTGTATAATGCATTAGCATTAATCCCCATAACCGAGAATGAACGCGGTGATGTGCAGTCTTACCGATAGCTTCCTTGAGGTATCTGTGACCTATCAGTTTGAGGTACTCTTCCACAGCCTTTGTGGCAAGCGTGTTTTCCCGAAAGATCAAGTGCTCACGGTCCATGAATCGATCCACCTCACACATCGCCATGTCGGACAGGAACTCCTGAGGAGAGATTGCATTTACAGATCAGTGGGCGGCACACAGAGTAAAGGGCATTTTTTCTTTTAAATCTTACCCCGTTAACAAAGAAAAACCTTTCGACATCAAAAGCGGCTATTAGCATGCTGTCTCTGTGTACCTTTGTCTTCCCAGTGCTTTGAAGGATGTGCACGAGGGCAAACGCCACCTCCTCTTTGCTCTTCACGCTCAACAGCGGCTCCAGGACGGCACACAGTGTTCGGTAGTTGTTGGTGATGTACTCGGCGAACTCCTTGTACAGCTCCATCGGGAGGATGTTCATGGTCTGGTAGCGGGACTTGACCCGCAGCGACGCGTTGATCGCCTTGGTGCTTCCGACACCGCCGCTTTTCGCCAGGACGCTGGACTGTATGACGGGGTACCACTGCTCCACGAACTGCCGGCCCGTGATGCTGGATATCGGGATGCTGACAAGGCCAAGATAGGTGCTTTTCTCCTGGTTTGAAAACAAACCGCAAAAAGAAATCTGTCGATGTCATTTTTCCAGTTTTTTGTTGTTGTTTTTTTTTTCTTTAACCCAAAAAAAACGTTTCTCTACCTTGCGTCTCTTTTTGTCTGTTTCCTTGTAGAGGTGCAAACGAAGGCTACGAATGGTGGGCAAGTTGTTAAATTCGAAATGCTCCCCCCAAAAGACGGTGTCGGTGCGGGGTTTGCTGGTGGTGCGCGCGTACAGCATGTCGTCGAGACACAGCTCGCAATAGTAACGCTTCTTAGCGGGAAGATCTCGAGCCTCAATGATCCACAACTTGAGCACATTGTCCACCCGTCTGCTGTTATCCTGAAAGTGGAACGAGGAGTTCTATTACTGCATTATAACAGTCCTTATCCACATCTGTCGGTGAAAAATGGAAAGCGACACGGCAAAATCTGAGCGAGGAACCCCTTTAAACAGGTTCCTGGACTTAAAATGGCATTATCAATCCAACAAAACAAGCACTACACTGAATCTACCTTGTTAGGTTTGACCGCTCGTTGGAGATTTTCAATCCATTTGTCTCTTTCTGAAGCTGAACGGCAGGCAAAACATTTTGTCCCTGAATTAGTGGTTACCTGAAAAAAAATATGTAATTCATTCATGATTATGAGATATTACCTGTATGTCTGCACTGACTTCTACTTTGATAACCATTTTTTAAAGTAACATGGCATGGGAAGTTGTGACATACACTGGGAAAAAAATGCTAATTACAACAGAATGAAACCTCCCAAGCTCTCCCTCATTCCAAAAAGTTACAAAGGTGGTTAAGTAGCTTCACAGTCATTCCTAAGGTTTCTGTGTAAGATTAGAGATTAAAAATCCAGGAAAAGGTCGAACAATTTAGCCCACCTCAAAGCAGTACTCTTGTCCTAAAATGCTCGAGTGGACAGGCTTGATTACGGCATCTTCGTCCAAAACTAGGTCCAGAGCCTCTGCAGCACTGCTGGGGGAGAGAAGGGACTCGTGGGAGTGGGATTCTTTGAAGCTTTGCATCAGGCGTGTCCTAGGGAAAGAGGAATTCTTCATTTACTTTCAGAGTTCAGCAGGAGTTTTCACACCCTGTACGACCAGCTCCTCACTTTGGTCTACGTGATTTGAATGAACTGAATGGCATGAATTTGAACAGACTATAATAAACACAAGGACGAACAAAAAATAGTTTCTGAGTGGCTCACATAATATGCAAAATGACCAGGGCCAAAACAAAGAAACGAGACAAAAACAAACTGAGATGCATATAAATAAAAAAAATGAATCGATAATATACAAAACATACTAAAAATAGTAATATTATACACAAGGTGATGCCAGATTTTACAAGACTGTTGTTAGGAAGCTTTTTATTTCCGTCCCTGAAGGATCACTGTTGCATAATGTGTGCATGCCCTCACCAGGACATTGAACGCCTCCTACATAACAAAACTGGAACGTAAAAAGCAAATATAACGTTGGTTTTGCCAACTGTGGAACAAGGATGTCAGCTAAGAGCAGCTCAGCTCTTTCAGTCAACAGAATACTAAATATAAAGGAAAGTGCTCGTGTGAGAAGGTGACAGGTGGGGTTGGGGGGGGGGGGGATGTGGAGTGAGCATGAAATAACCTTTAGAGGAGAGCATTTCTATCAAGGGAACAGAAAAGTGGAATTCAAGGCAGAAAGGTGAACCGAGGCAAACCAAGGTCTGTAAACTGGAAAATACAGCAAAAAAAAAGAAGAAAAAACTGCTGCTGAAGCAGAATGTGCGTGTAACTCTCCCAGCCAATCAGGAAGTGCCTATCCTTCAACTCTACATTTTCTGGCTGAGTGTGTACAGCAAGGTGACTCTAACTAGTAAGAAAAAAAAACACACATCCCCCTCAGAACATCCGCTATGCACTGCTGTGTAGGTTTCCCTTTTTTAAATAGTAATGTTATCTGTGAGAGATCTGAAATGAGATGTTCGAGGGGAGTCAGTTCTCTTATGATGCATGTGCGACCAAACCCCGCTATCCTTGTCAAATTATGAAACTCATTAAGAAATACTTGAAATGACACAGACACCCACATGTCTTAATATTAGTATTTGGTATCTGTCTCCTCGAAGAAGTGCGTTTTTACATACGAACACACACACATGCCCCTTTAGTCTGCCCAATACTTCCGGTATGGATTTTACAATAATCATCAATGTCTTATGGATATCCAGAGGACATTATTTGTTCTTTTGTAAAATGCGAACTATTTTCACTGTATTTTTTTTTAAGGATGGTGATTGATATCCCCTGCTTTTTTATGTTGCATTTGAGTTATAAGGTTAGTATATACTGAAAGCTTCCAGGGTTCCCTCAAAAGTTCAACTTACCATCAACCTTTGGAAATCTGGAAATGCATCGTTTTAGGTCGCGCTGTGGAATGCAGCAAACGAGAAAAAGGCTCCGGTAAACCGGGTTGGCAGCCGGGGCCGAGCAGCTGCGCTGGAAAAGCTTTAAGTGTGAAGTTGGGCGCCGTGGGTTTATTGCAAAGTCAACCTAACGCCACTGAGTGAATTAAGCGTTGTGTGGGCGGAACTGGAGGCAGGCTGTGAAGACAGCTGTCTCAGGCAGTGGTGAGAGTGTGCCGACTAAGGAATCATTCAGAACCCCCCCCCCCCCCCCAACTCCATCAATACTGCACCCACAAAACCCATTGGTCTCATATATGCTTTGTTCTAACATTTAAAATAGGCCCCTGCACTGTAGAACAAAATCTTCTCATCTATTTACCCCTTTTGTAAAGGAATCTTCTGTCTTTGGACATCCTTGAATGCACATCCTAAATATGTCTGTAATGCGTTTCCCGTGGCGACGGCAAAGTGAGCTGTCAGCAGTCCATTTTTTTTTTACTCTTCCCCCACGCCCACACGTCTTTGCATTTCCCATATGAGCGTCGTGACTGGATTCTGTGAAGAATTGCATAAAATTTTGATCGCGGCGCGAGAGAGATTCCGCTGGGACGTGACCTCGCTTTTGAACACACAACAAGAAACAGCTGTCATGAGCGCGTCTGGAGCCGCGAGCTGCAGCATCCCAACTAAAGGAGAATCGAATAAAAGATGGAAAAAAAGAGAATTTTTGCTCTTCCTTCGGTTTGCTACCTTTAATATAAATCAGTTTTGCAAGGGCCTTGTTTAAAAAGTAGCTATCTTGGGTCCAAGAAGGTTGATTGAAGTTTGAAAAGATTACAATCTGTCATTCAATCACAAATTAGGGAAGCATACAAATCTTTGCAGACCAAGAAAAACAAATCAGAACTTAGGTGGACTAGGGATTTCTTTCGAAAACAGGAAACTCATTCAAATGCACTGCCTCTCCAGAAAAACATTTAAAGCATAAACCTGTCCTGCTGATATTATGTTTAACAAAGTCTCCCTTCAAAAAATTCAAAAGCAGCTGGAGGTTTGAACCACTAAAGCTGCTTCAAGAGGTCTGTCAGCCCTCCTCTCTAAAAAATCTGCATTCTCTGTGCATGCACAGACACAAACCTGACTCAAAGGAAACATCACAGAGGTTGAACCTCGCTTTACGTGTGAGAGTCACACTGTGGCAACACATGAACTGAGGGTTTCATGTAAATGAGCGGTTCGCTTTAGATGGGTCTTTTCTCCACGGTCGGGGATCACACATGCGTTTTCCAGTGGGAGACTCTCTGCTGGATGTTTTCTCACAGCTGGAAACACTACAAAACCGCATCGGGAAAGAGAGCAGAGAGGAACTCAGTGGGCTTTTTTCAGCCCACCGGCAAAAACGGCAAAGGGAGCCTCCCGATGGCTCGCTTGTGTTCGTACCAATATCACATTTGAATTGATCCAAAACATTTCCAAGCAAGTGGCAAACAATATACACATCAGCAGAAAGCATCCTCACACATTCTCTCGCTGTAAAGGCTCTTATGGACCACCTGCTGTTTCACACGTGGTAGAACTTGCACATTTTCTGGACTTCTCTTACTAAGCAGATGAACGAGGTTCTTTGAAAGAGGGTTAGAGCCAGTGTGCTTCCACCGTCACACGAAGGCTCTTTGAACAAGCTGCCAAGAGTCCGTGTTGATCTCTAATCTTTAGTGAGTGCAAAAAACACCTCCACACGAGCGAAGAAAGACTCAATTTCCCAGAATCTGCACAAACAGCTGGCAGCTTTAGATGACCGAGTCACCAGAGCATGTCGGACGAGGGACAGGATTAAAAGACTAAAATGTTTTGCTGCGAAACTCAGCTGAACACATCTCAGTGAAGAGTGACACCCGGCATCCAGGGGTATAAAAAATATCTCCAAAATCCACAACTGAAAGGAAAGCTGCCTCTATCCACATCCTGTTACTACGCAGGGGGATGCGTGCTCTATTTCTACTCTCAGAATGTATTTTTCTTAACATTTATGTGTGTAGGAATACGTTGTTATGATTTTTCAAAGTCGTTTTATAATAAATCCAATCCTCGCTTGCAGAACAACTTCTGCAATTAACATTTAACAGCTCAATCAGTCACACTCTGCTCGGTACCTCAATCAAATCCTACACCAAGAAGCCCCTTTTAAGTGCTAATTTAGATTATAAAAGGCACACATAATTAGGCGCAGTGAGAAAATGCACTGAACAAACCGAGCTTTCTCATGAGCCGGCCATACGTTTTCCCCGTTTCAGTAAGCTTCTACAAGCACACCATCACTCATTCGTTTAATACACCGAAGCATTTCGGGGATAAATTGTTTTAGCGTTTCTAAAAATAGCGATCGAACGAATACCTTCTGTCACCGCCCCAAAAAGTATCTGACATCTGTGAATGCACCAGTAATGGCAACGTCCTTCAACCAGCAGGGCTTTGCCTGTCTAAGAGAGGCTGATAAGGATGTATCCACATTGTGCTGCAGCCAAATTAAGGCAGAAGCAGCTCTTAGGTGTAAAGAGTGGACTTGGTTATGTAATGCAGTGATTTGCAGAGGATGATATATAAATATATTAACGGTGCTGTGTAAGCAGCGGGTGTAATGGAGCAATAAAAAGCAGTCAGAGGAAAGATTGTGTTTTGTTCAATGAAAATTTTTATGTTGCTTTCCCATATTTTGAATAAATGCTGATTTCAGTCTGATTTTAAACAATACATATCTTAATTCAATGTGCTATTTTTCATTCCGGCAAGTAGTTTCAGTCTTCCCTTTGCAGTCAGACTTTTTTCTTGCAGGATATGATCCAGTGTATGCACTGATCTTTAGCTCTGTATGTTATCTGAATACAGATGGATGTGTCGGACAAGTGGGAATTAAAGAATAATGGCACTGACTTGAATATGGATGAAGGAACTTGTGGGATGATAATACAGTTTCAAAGAAAGTCTTTCTCTGATGAAGGCAGTTACATGCATTTCCTCCAAATTCAAATATTCTCTTGTGTAAAACGTAATCTATGCTTTAAGTGATACAGGAATAACAGCCACACTCATGGCAGGGCTGCTCACATTCTGACCACTGGTCATCCCGGGGTGAATCGAGGTGGCTTACCTCTCTTGGTCAGCACTACGAAACCGGGGCAAGATCATCTGTCTGAAGCTGCTGGTCCGGTCCAGTTTGGGTTGACTTTTCGCCCTCTTGATGGAACCTTTTAACCTCCGATTGAGAAAACTCTGACACAACAGAGAAGAAAGAAAAAACTTTTAGGACAGCACAGACACACCTCTGCTCACATTGTGAATTAACAGTGTTGTGACATCCAAAAAAAAGCCAATCTGCGTGTTTTCTTTGGCGTTGCATCGCTCACCGGCTGCCTGAACGGCTGCGGAGTCGTGTTGGGGGGGGTCTCCATGCTCGACTGTCTTACAGAGGCAAAACTTGCCCTGCGAGATTGGTCTACGAGGAAACGGTGCAAAAACATTAGCAAAAAGAAGTGATGATTTCAAACTTGTTCAAAAAATTCAACTCATGTTGTAAAGTTTGGTTTTATACATTGAGATACATTTTGAAGTCATATTTAATCATCAAAAGCTCAAAATTTCAAGCAGTTCAACAAAAAAAGCTAATACATTGAATCAAATATGTAATTTAATTGTATATTAATGGATTTTACATTAACTTAAAATACATCTAAATGATTTTGTTCACATACATTATTTACATTCTTACTTGGAGTTGATGACATTACCTGGTAATTGTCGCTAGAAGAAGGAATCGGCATCAGAAAACATGACGAAAGACACACAACTCACAAGCAGGATACTAGTACAGTGAAGCTGAAGCCAGAGAACGCCACCAATGACAACACACAGCTAGACTCTGCCCCAAAAACTCACAGAAAAGGAAACTAACAGTTAGAAAGACACCTGTGCATTGCCTGCGTAAAGGCCTTTTGTGTCAGTGACTGCTGCCAGAAAACTTTGTGCGTCCAAGGTCAGCGGGAAATGACGCACAACTTGAAGTGAGATATATATCGGAAGGGAGACTCACACTCCTGTGAGTCACGATGAAGCTCCCGGTCTGACTTTAGGCTAGTACAAACTCTGCCACATATTGATGGATCTATAAAAGTATAAGCAACTTTCTTAAGGGAATTACTGTTGATGCCTCCTCTGAATCACCAAAAAGAAGAAGCCAGTGCACAGCATTGTAAGGAGACTATGTTCCCATATATTACTTCTCCAAATGTGGGTATAGATGACAGATTTTATCACCTGTTAGCTAACAAGCTGCTTGCTGTTTCCTTATATTCAGAGTCTAAATTTGAATATGGATAATGAATGCAAAGACACAAGGCATCAAGGTTCCAAAGTTAAGATATTCCTTTTGTAGCACATCAAATTTCTATTCCTTCAATATGCTTCTAAAAGTTAAGTTTTGCTTGATGTTTTCCATGTTGTCAGTTTATTTCCTAATAAATTAGTTTCTCATTTCCTTACTTATGTCTAGACACATTTCAGTCTTGCAACAACACAACAATTCAAGGGCAAAAAAAATATTTCAAAAGCTAAAGACAGCGTTTATGCAAACCTAATAGAGATTTTTCAAGCCTAGATTTTATATTCCATGTTTATTCATGTACAAAGCAAAATGTTCAAACAACATCAACATTTTGCATTTCCAAAGGTTTCTAATACCTCAAAAGGATGACTTTTTTAGACTCTTTTGCAGCTCTATTTTGCCCGTGAATAATCTGCTTTGGAAATGTATTTTCTTTCTGTTTAAATCTATCTTTAATAGAAATTAGCCTCTTCTTTTTTTTCTTTTCTGTTCCAAAAGAGAATAAAGACAGGCTGTCATGCTATGATTTCCTCACTCCCAAAGCCTGTAAGTAGGCTACTCTCCAGCTTCTATTCTGATACCCAGCTAATTGTTTGGTATCCATGGAAACAACTCCAAGGGCTTCTACTTGCACTGTGGAAGATATTGGTAAATAGCTGCACGGCAACGATGATATAAAAACACTCGGCAACATGCAGCACAACACTGGGCCTCTGCCAGACGTCCCGGGGGGGGGGCGGCGTGGTTTCCGGGGGTGGCAGGCAATTAGCTGGGTATCAGAATAGAAGCTGGAGAGGAAGAAAGCGGGAAGACCCCCCGGGACCTCAATGAAAACA